ATAGGACGTTTGCCTTCATGTAAAATCTCTGGTCATTAGGACATTTGTCAGTCTGTTGGTCTGGTCAACCAGAGACCAAAGTCACAGGAAAAAGAGAAGAGAAAACAGAAAGGGAAAAATGAGAACAGCAAAGAAAAATAAGTGCAACTGTTAGAAGTGTCTTGGCATTAATTGACTGAAATGATTTATATGCTATTACAAAAGTAATTTAGACCGCAGTGTTTTATGAAAATACGAGGGGGTGGAGTCACATTTGAAATTTTAATTACGGGGTAACCTTATACGCGAGGAAGTGGGGAGAGGTCTTGATTGACGCGTTCGGCGTGTGGGTTAAATAGTTACAATGGAACGTTGGACCGGAGCGCAACATGCTTTTGCTATTGAGGCTTACTTTAAGAGTGGTGCTTCATACGCAGCTGCCCTTCGAAAATTTTGTACACGATACAACATTCGCCGACCAAGAGATGCCCAAAGTTACAACCTATTGAAAAAGTGGATTAAGAGATTGCGTGAAACAGGCTCTACTCTTAGCCAACCCATTCCTGGCCCCACACCTGCTGTATCAACCGAAGAAAATGTGCGTCGAGTAAGTGATTCGGTCATTGCAAATCCTTAGCGTTCTGTACGGAAGCAACACTGCATGGCATAATGAAAAAAATGGGTTTTCATATCCTTACAAGTTCCATCAGTCCATGCTTTAAACACTTTAAAGGAAAGTGATTACGTACTACGGCAATCTTGTGCTGAACGGATGTTGAATCGAGAAGAGACGAGGCCCATTCTCACTCAGACGGTTATGTGAACAAGCAAAATTGTAGATATTTGGCACCAACGAACCCAGAAGACAAACATCATTGATAGCTGCAGTGTCCAAAGGCGACTGTTTGGTGCGCCATATCCTATAGCGGTATTATTGGGTCGCATTTATTTGAAGATGAAAACGGTCATTCATGACAGTCAATTCCGAGCGATACAAGGACATGATTGACACTTTCTTGCTCCTATTGTGAGAATAGAACGTCGATTTAACAGAAACACATGGTTTTAACTGGATGGGGCACTGCCCATACTTCCAGAGAATCGATGGACATGGTAAAAGCATTTTTTCTTCAAAAAGTTATATCGAAGTTTGGAGACATTCACTGGCCTCCTTGGTTACCCGACCTCACGCCATGCGATTATTTTTTGTGGGGTTATCTAAAATCAAAAGTAAAATAATTCACGAACACTGGAGGATCTTAGAAACAACATTCGACGAGAAATAAACAACATCACTCCGGAACTCTGCAAGAGTGTGTTTCAGAATTTGCGCGCGTGATTAGAAGAGTGTGTTCGAACGGATGGCAAACATTTGGACGGAATGATATTTAAAGAATAAAACCCGCCGAATTTACGAATATGTTGATATACTGTAACTATCTAAAACTGTAAAGACTCATACGCGTGATCAGATCATGACCGCAGCCGGGCGACGGAACGGTTGTCGAGTGGCGTAAGGCTAGAACAGGTATTCTAAACTCTCCGCCGATTTACACATTCTAAATAATACACATTTTATTATTATACATTAACAATATGTCCCACAATCATCTTGACAAACTTTAAGATATTAGAATACAACTATGTTATTAAACAAAAATTAGTAAAATATTGGTATAAAGTTTTGATTCATTTCTTTATTACAATTTTAATTTTTGTATTATGCTCACAAGATCTCATTCATTTGTTATAATAATCATGAGTAAAATGGTTTATGAATTTTTTGACTTGTTTTAAGGAGAAAGCTTCCATACAGCGATCAGTTCGAATAAATAAAATATTTAAAAATCACGATCGTTCTACTTTTAACTGCGTACGCTGCCTAAATGGTGGATCATACATAAATGCTACTACTACGAAAATAAGGGGCTTAATAAGAACTAAAAAATCCGCTGAAACATATAAACAAGGCAAAATAACGCTTTTCATGAGAAAATAGTTATTTTCAATAGTCCTCTGGTTGCCTTATTAGGTCCTTGCCTGTTTACGGAACAGAAGTCAAATGGCTTGGTTTGCTCGAGCGGTTGGGCTTTCATTCTACCCCGCTCGGGTGATTTTATTTCTTTTTCCTTCAAGTAAGTTTGTCCGATCGCAATGAGACACGAAATCCCGTGAAAATTTGTTATACTTATTATACCGAGAAAATTGTAGTCGGCTTTATTTGCTAACTCAATGTGGATTTTGCAGTACGATTCAAGTGTTGAACAATTAACGAATAGCGGATGCCGCGCGGCATCCTGTTTGCCTGTAACGCTATTGACTATCATGTGGGCGAAGCCGTGGCTTTATTCTAGTAAGTATCTAAGAAGTTTGCATTTTTTGTTAAATATCTCATTTGCATTAGTATTTTATATTTGACGACTGTTTGCAATTCAAGATGATTTTGTGGCTTTAAAAATCTTAACGTATTGTAGTTTTTTCACTAATGAACTCGTCTACTTATAATAAAACATTAAAACCAGTCAAAATCAACAAACATGCTACGAGTAAGAAACGCGCATGAATATTATTAATTATATATATAATATAATTAAACTGAAAGGAAGAATGAAAACTGATTCCGGTCCTGAAATAAGATGATGCCACAACGCTTCCACGCTACAAGGGCCCGATACATTGGCGTAGACTAATAGAGCTTGGAACTTGTTTCGTTGAGAGTCTAGTTACCGCGTGATATTGTTTGTTGTTAGCAGAATTGTTGTTTGGTTATTTCTGTTGTTATTGTTCGGGTTATTCTTAAATTTCCTTAACTATGGAGGGTGAGACTGAGAGTGAAACCACTGGAAGCCAGGAACAAGTAGGAAGCTTGTGCTCAACGTCTTCAATTATTTGAACAGGACTATGTTGCAGGGAGATGCACTTACGCGTTGCGAAAGCATGACAGGCGTCCGAGAGTATTCGCAGGGTGGTACATGGACAGAAGAAATCTGGAGCTACTGCTGAACTAAAGTTCCATTTGAAGGGACGAACGGCCATTAAACTAAATGGCGACAGCAAAATAGCGTTAAGACGAACCGAACATTCATTCTTTTTTAGAGATGAGATACCAATCCTTAAGGCTATATATACATGATAAGATTAAGAGTAATGACATTATACCCCCAGTGAGCGACGAAGTATTAAGGAAAACCTTGCACGAACTTAATGTTCGTTACGAAACGCGTAATCGGAAGTCAGGATTGATATAGAAACCTGAAATAGTCGCGTAGCGTCGAAAATACCTACGCGCAATAACTGAATATAGACGACAGACGACAGAGCGGAAAATTATATTATTTGGACGAGACGTTGGTAAATGCAGGTCACACAATTAAAAAAAACAGGATAGACAAAAATGTACTAAGTAACCGACAAGCAAACATTGAAGACTTATCAACAGGTCTTCGTGCTCCGCCAGAGAAAGGTCAAAGATTGATCGTTACACATATTGGTAGCATTAGAGGCTTTTTAGAAGGATGTAATTCGACTTTCGTATTTAAGAAAGGAGGTGATTATCATGACGAAATGACTGCCAGCTGCTTCAAGAGATGGCTTCAACGGGTGCTTCAGCCAGTTGAACCCAACTCGGTGATCGTCATGGATAATGCTTCTTATCACAGTCTTCGAGCCGAACTTGAACCAAATATGGAGTCTCGAAAAAGTGAGATGCAGCAATTTTGCGCGAAAAGGGCATAACATTTGACGATTCATGTGTGAAAGCGGAACTGTACGAAACATTTAAATATCACAAATCTGCGGACGTGATTGATGAGATGGCCCGTCATTGTGGAGTCACTGACCTACGTTTACCGCCATACCATTGAACTGAACCCAATAGGGGCTTAAGTGAAGGGTTATATTGCGCGCCATAACACAACTTCTAAATTACCAGACGTCAATGCTTTGCTAGAGAATTCCATACAGCTAGTAACGCCTGAAGCGTGCCAGAATGCTGTCCGTCATGTTGTGAAGGAAGAAACAAAAATGTGGCAGCTTGACCACCACATCGACACCACCATGGAGCCAATTATAGTCAATCTTGGCAAAGAAAGCGATAATGACAGCTTATTACTTTCATAAAGAAGTGGAAGCGACGACGAATGAGGAGAGGTAGACTCAATTATTAGCTCATGGATAACCAGAAAAAAAGCTGACAAAGGTAATCTACAAATTTCTCATCTATACCGTCTTTCAAACCATTTAAAAACATATAAAATAAATCAAGTGAACCCACATTAAAAAGTTATACCACGCCACTGACAACCTGACTACCGGTGGTTTAGTATTCACGTGACCATCGATGAGTCATTGCAGTTTTAGATAGTTATGGTATTGTAATAAATATTTTCTTTAAATTAAGTTTGTACTTTCTTTCTTAAATCAAAAAGTGAACTTTCCCACTGGGCATCCTGCATAATTTGATAATCTTAAGAGTGCCTAAGTAAATTTTGATTACAGTGCAAGCCGCGGCCAGGAGTGTTTGCGAATATGCTCCACTGTGATGTAGTCCACTGATTCACGCAACAAAGTGTTGCAATACGATTCCGCTTGTTCGTAGCATCGCCGGGCCTGTTCTTTAATGTAATTCCCCAAGTGAGGTTTTCTTAGGTAAATCAGGTACAAATTCGGTTTCGTTTTCACGCTGGGATTAACAGCGGATCCAAATCGACCCACTTTATACCTCAAATTCGGCCTGAAAGACGTAAAAAATCGCCCGCATTCATTATAGAGATCTTGGTTAAAATTATGGCGAATGTTCATCTTAACAGATCCTACCTCCATTTTTTTGCGAGAAGCTTAGGTTTAGCGGCGTACATGTGACTGCCTTTTTACACTTCCATAATGAGCATATTTGCATTGTGCTCTTATTCTGATAGCACATCGCTATTCTGCCATGTTTCATACCTGTAATACCGGTTCGGTTGGTATCTTTTGTCGTATCAAATAAAGTTTATTAAAATGTGTTATAAAGTAAAACCACCTTTAAACTACTACTCACACTTTATTATGCTAAATAAAGAATCTATGTATAAAAAGTTGCGTCAAATACAAAAATAAATTAAGTCAACTTAATCTGATTCTCAGAACTCATATTTCACGCAGTGATCTCAGATTTTTGTTTTAACAGCCGATTTCTGTCTACAATGCGACAAAACTCGGCACGAACAAAAATTATATCACCATGGATACTAGAAAAATCTGAACAGAATAACTTAACCTCACTTAAAATCAACATTAAGGAAGCACTTGAGAGACACCAGCGTCTCAGAGTTCCTCCAAAATACTGTTTAGTATCATTTTGAACTAAAACTAGGTTTTTATCCAGTATTGTCAGATGAGAATCTCAATCGCATGTCTTAAGTCCAAAAACATGTTTGGAAACATTTAAAATCTGGCAAACTTTCACCGACTAAATCTTTGGAAGTTTTGAAATAATTGGGAGTTGTTTTCAATATTATTACATCAAAGAAGGGAAGAGCTCTGAAACGCAAGGATCCCAAATGTCTTCAACAATGCTATTCGGCGAACCCAGCGATTCATAACCTACGTCTGAAACTGGAGAAGCACTTGGTTTATATTCCGATGGAACCTTTAACGTATTTTTTTCTTTCAATGCCATTTGACTGTCGTCAGAACTCCTTGAATCTTCTATAACCACATCAGTGATATTCTCGTTGATCGGCTGACCATTCTCATCAACGAAGATAGTGATCACATTGGTGTTATCATCCAAAGTTCCATAGATCACATCCTGAGAGTCGTTTTTCTTTGATGCTAAAGACTTGTGGTTTGACCTCGACTTGTCAATTTTTGGTCTGATAGCTTTGAATTTTGTCTGGGATGTCTTCTGTTTCTTGGTTGGGGGTTTTGCGGCATAATTATGGTGGAGTAGCAGATATTCTGAGATGTCGTGTTCCAACTCTTTGGACTCGACGACCTGCGCCTGGTCTGAGGGCGACGCGACATCAGAAGTAGGATGATTCTGATCTAAGATTTCACGTCCACTGGGTTCCAGCTGCGTTGATGTCGACCCCACCATTTCTCGATCACTATCTTGTCGATTTCCTTCGGATTCCTGAAAAACCGAAATGCAAATTCGTTAGGGCTGTTTCGTTGTGTATTGTAACACAGGTATAGGTGCTGTTTGACATCATCAAATCTGTGAAGAAGCACTCCTCATATTAATAGATTCAGATTCTAGATTATACAGGGTGTCCCCAAAGTGGGGACTTTCATTTACAGAGCGTATAGGTCAGGCAATGATAAGCAAGTTTTCCAAATAACACATACCTATACCAAAACCTTAATATACCCGAGACATTAAGTTCCGAAAAACTGACTACGTGAGGCAGTGTTCCAAATCAGGCGCCGCGCGGTGTGTAGGCAAATCTAGTTAATAAACAAACCACATTTGAAAACCGAAATTTGCAGATTCATATAGCAAGTACGTATTTATAGATTTGATGGTATTTTACTGTGAGCATCTTCAAGATCCTATTGATGCTCGAGTATTAAGAATATTGCCGTCATCCTCGATATCTTCATCAGAACTGCATAGGTTTGTTTATATCGTGCAAAAGCCATCTGGGTGGACAATGTTGCCAATTTAGGAAGTAAGCAAAGTCGTGTTTTTGAATCGAACCGCGACAACTTCAACCAGAAACAACAAACAAAACATATGTGACAGGGCATGTACATGAAATGCCGTATCAAATAAATCGTGACTATTTTTTCATTCAATCTCTTTTTTACGTTTTTGGTTCTGTTTTACCGCAAATTTCAAACGAAGTTGTTTCTGAAAAGGAAAGTCTCAACTTTCAGGACACCCAGTGTGGTTCAGGAAATACAGTGTGTTACCATTATTATTACGACTGATTACTGTATCCTCCAAGAAGATGCCCAACCTGCGGCGACAATCCGAGAGATGGCAAAGCTACATAAGTTTTTGGAGGCGCTACGATATATAGTATATGATTATTTTCACGCTGTCACGGCTTTCAGTTGAATTGGGTAGCTTCATATGTTAATCAATTTTATAATGCATGGGTAGTATACTGCCGCGCTAAGCACATTGGGGGTATCTGCAATTTTCGGAAATTTGGTTATAGATACCTAGTGAATCAGCGTCATTTTCCCTACTCATTTGCAAAGTTTTTCGGCAGTAACATACGATAGTTTTTCTTAAAATCCTACACTTTTGTTTGACATATCTATACAAATGATTTTGAGGTTCAACCTTTGAACGTATTTTTCTCGGTTTCATGTTTATGGAGCATTTAAGCAATTGATAAAACAATATTGTCAAATTCTCGAAAACTATAAATTTGCTAAGTAAACAATGTTATATACAATTAACTTTATTTTTACTGCTTAATACGATGACTTTTTTAAAAAAAGATGCAATCCATTTAAAAATATACTTTTTGGGTTTCGTAAAATCCAATTCTCATTTTCTGTTTTTGACCACCCTAAATTGATTCCCTCACTATAAGAAACCCGTTACAAGGCATCTGGCAAATACAAAAATATGATGAAAACTGGCATTAGTTGGCCTGCATTTGTCATTTTATACACAAAATTTGAGATATCTCAAAAACGGTTGGACTTGGCTAACACTTGAACAGCGTGTTCTATTTAAAATAAGCAAGCTGATATCTCATTTTGGTAGAGCCGAACATTATTCTGAGAATATTTTAGCCGAATTGCTGTCATTAGTTATGCTACAAACCCAAATTTTCAGAACTGTGATATAGGTACGTCAAATTTTTCGTCAAGTAATCGATCAGTTGTACTATGTCGGACAGCCTGTAGTTTTAGTGGTAACATACTGTATATTGCTACCAGAAAATGCTGTAGATTATTATTTTTAGTAGCATTAACAAAACCAAAAAAACATCACACAACACAGATATTTAAAAATTTAGACCATGCAAAAAGCCATTCAACGTGAAAATGCGTGTCTTTTGGTTCCAGAATTATTGATAGACAAATACAATTTGCACTTATTTTTATTTAATAGTGTTGAATTGCTGTTATAAAAATCACCTTAATTCATAAGACTTTTTCAAAGTTTTTACAATGAACTCATGAAAGTATCTAGAAAATGAGAAAATAAATATGTTAATAAAGATTAGTAGAAAATATGACAAATATACTTGAATTATTTATATATATATATATATATATATATTATTTAAATTTACAATTAAACTCGTGAGGGGTAACACGTGTAACTACGGTCTAGCACACAATGTGGATTTTCCAGATAAGTGATGATAATAAAATTTGTCGAAAATTAAATTTGAAAATTATAGCTACTTACAGACAAAATGAAAAAAGAATCAGGGTCCATATGGGGGTTTTTCGGCACTGAAATTAACTCAAATTTCAAGTTTGTCGTACCTACAAAATTGTTGCGTTCAAATGTTGCAGAATATATGTATTTCAAACAGTTTTCTTTTTATTTTAGTTCTTAATTTTAAATGTTGATGGTTTGCAATTTTGGTAGTTATGTCTAAAATTCATTCATTTTGACAGCTAATTTTATATGAGCGCATGGTTGCAACACTTCCTTCTTCAAATCTATAAGAAAAAACAGACACAAAACATGACCAATTTTCAATGTCAAACTTCACTAACTACGTATTTTTAAAATAGAATAGTTTTTTATTCGTCATTGTTTATCAGAGCAGTACAGGACCTTTGCTCTTGGTTAAAGTATACTGTAAGTCTGGTTTGGTTGCCCAGATACGAGACTAAGTCAGGGAAAAAGAAGGGAAGAAGAAAGGAAGGACAGCAAAGAAGAAAGGAGTGCGTCAATTTGAAGGGTGCGTTGGCATTGCTAACTATTATTCGAGAAGTTTAAATTGATCCTAAAATTAATTTAGAGATTGGTAGTTGAAGAAAAAAATTAATTTGTGTTAGACCTAAGGGCGCACAAATTAATTTTGTTTATAGTGCGAGCCGCGAAGTTGCTCGACTGTGTAGTGTACTGACTCACGCAACAAAGGGTTGCTATGCGATTCCGCTTGACTATGTATAGATAAAAGTGAATAAAGTATTGGTCCAAGAACCGAACCCTGAGGGACACCGGCTTTGATGGGCCGTATTGTCGACAAAGCATTGTTAATTTTGCTCCGAAATTGCCTACCCACAAAGAAGGATTTCAAAAGTTTTAGGAACCAGAAGGGGAAGCCCTTGTGCCACACCTGGTCAAATTCGTTACATCCAGAAAGTAGAACGGTTTGAAGCTTTTAATACGAATTTCACCTCAAATATTCAAACCAATTTTGAATTATAATATATTTAAATGTAAAAATTCTATAGATACGATCAACTTGACATCCGAGTTGTTTTCAGGGCCGAAACCTCGCTCATAGACACTGATCCTATCTCAAAATAAAAAATGCACCGTAAACTAAAATCTGAAATGGATTCATACGCAACTTACATGACATTCAACCTTCTGTGCAGCTGCCTCAAGATCCCTGGCGATGTCCCTAAGTAGGCTTTGCGCGAGCTGTTCGAGTTCCGCCCCGTCGATGGGCGGCCCGTTGCCGCCCGTCCCGGTCGCCTGGTGGCATTCCAACTCGTCGAAGAGGTCCGGCAGAGAAGGCATGTCAGAAGGATGGTCCGGGAGAGGGCACGCAACAGGTGAGCGGAGCGAGGAGTGATTGTGGGCGTGGCTGGCGCCGCTGTGGGCGTGGCCGTCAAAGCCGCTGCTGAGTGCGTGGCTCCGCCTCTCTGTTGGAGGCGGTCCTGCGCCGACGAGGAGGTCGGGCAGGCGGATGCTGTCGATCCGGGAGCCTCGCACGCGACAGACCTGCAAATAGTAAGTAACAAAAATCATAACGAATATATAATATATAACATCCGACAGGTGAAATCATGCGTTGGACGAGACGAAAACCTCGCATTCATGTTTGTTGGATGAACCCATAACATGACCATAGATGAATCGTACATTTGGCTTTAATACTTGGAAAAATCAAGAGACTTGCCGCGCGCCACGGGGTTGTAATATTGGAGCTTTGGTAGTGGATCCGAGAGACTCATAAAACCAGGTAGCAGACGGTGCGGCGACGTGATATGCACAAACGAAGTGGTCGCATTATGGTTGGAGTGTAATGAGATTTCTTGTTTTGGTGAGGTAATGTTATATAGTTTAGTATATAAAGTTATTACACATTTATGACAAACTGTATTACAGCAGAGCTCCAAATAAATGAGGCTACCACAGACAGGCACGCTCATTGCTGCCAGATCGGGCAAGCACAGACAGTATTTTGTGCACTTGTCGATCGACAGAATATGTCTATTAGACTTTTAAAAAAACAACTGAGTAATACAGTAAAAAGAAAAACGATGATGAAAGTTTTCAAATACATGTATTCTAAAATACAGGGTACCCAAAAAATTTCAAAAACGATTTCTAGTACTGCCCTGTCACATATTTTGTTTGTAACTACTGATCGATTCAAAAACACGACTTTGTTAAGTTTTTCCTAAATTTGCAACATACGCAGGCAGCTTTGATGGAAATATTGAAAACGATGGCGACGTTCTGAATACTCGCGGAAAATCAATAGGATCTTGAAGACACAGTAAGCTAACATTAAACTGATAACTAGGTAATTGATGTAGGAATGTGCGGCACCTAATTTGAATACTCACTCACATAGTCATAGAATCACAAAACGTAGGATCGGAGGAAAGCAGGGTCAGCATGTTTTATTTGGCTTCTCGGAACTTAATATCTCGGTTTTCTCAAGGCTTTGGTATATGTGTTACTGGGAAAATTTACTTATTGTGACCTGACCTATACGCTCGGTGGAGTCCCAACTTTGTATTATTTGTATTTAAATGTAAAAATTTCATAGATGCGATTAATTTAAAATTTGGGTTATTATAAGTTTAAAAGCGGGAAACTCCTCTCATAGACCCTGATCATTTCTCCCAATAGTGCAAGATTTTCGTCTCGTCTATAAGTCAAACTACTGGATATTTTTTTCAGATTCCTACCGGTTTTGACTGCAGCTAACACAGGGCGCTCTCAGCCTGTTGAACAACTCCTGATTCTCCTGAGACAATCGCTGGTTATCCAATTTGAGACTTTCGCACTCTGCCATCAGGGACTCGTTTTCGAGAACAATTGTTGGATAGCATTCTCCATTTGTTCCATTTTTGCTTTTTTCCTGTCTCGAGATGTCTGGGCAGCCACACGGTTCTTCAATTTCCTGAAACAAAGAGTCAGTCAAACAGGCTTATTATGATCTACTACTTGAAGTTTTTCGCTCAGAAGCACCATTTTTGAAACAAAAATACATTTTATTAGTCACTAAAAACAACTATTTATTATTAAAAAATAGTAATTGAACTGGAGCTTTTTTTAATGAACATACAAAAATTGAATAAACACTTCAGGTGGAATACAAGTTAATCAATGTCCAATACCCAATTAAAATAGGCATTAGAGAGGCGCCAAAAAGGAATTAAAGATCATAGCACCATCTATGAGACAGTAGCAGAACCAAATACTCTAACTGTTAAAGCAGATTTCTAAATTCATCTTTATGTTCTGCTACTATCTCCTACAGGTGGGTGGTTGATTTTTTTTCCGGCCGCAAGATATCCGACGTTATTGACATTACGAGGGGACCTGATTGAGACATTCAAGATCAACAGTGGCTGCTACTCGTGTGCCCTTCAAATATTCAATATGAGTCAGAATCCTCATCTCAGATTAAATACCAGAAAAATAGAAAAAGATAATACATCTAAGTTGATGCGGAGAAATTTCATTTCAAATCGTGTGAGATATACACGTGGAACTCTCTTAGTGAAGAAACAGTCGGTGCAAAAACTGTCAGTTTATTTAAGAATAAGCTAGATAAAAAAAGACTACACAATAGTGTCGTCGTACTTTTACGCCTACTGTTGTAGTGATAAGAATACCTAATGATAATTAGCGGTCCCCCTTTTCGTCCCACAATATAAACTCGGATGTGTCCTCCGCTGCTTCTATATAAAAAAACAGATGGCGCTGATATCTTTCAGACTCCTTTTTGGAACCGAAACACAATGCATATGGTTCAGGTAGGCTACGTCAATCAATGCTACGATATTTATTTTCACCATATCTATCGGAATTGCATGACCCACTATATAGCAAATATGTTTCCGTGTAAAAATAATCATCAGTCATTCTAAAATTGCGAACAATCAGTCGCAGAGTTCTACGTGTAGATATAACCTGCACAATATGAAGATTCATAACATTTTCAACTCTATAGGTTACAGACAAGAGGACAGTATATTAATTTCGTAGCTGCTAAACGTGTCGACGATATGCACTACAAAATTATGTGGTTGAAGAACTGATCGAATTTCTTTTCGGCTGCAAATGATGAAGATTCAAGGATGCACGGATCTAAAACTCCCCATGTTTTGTATACCGACCTTTGGTTGCTCTTGGAATGCATTTTTAGAACAATCACTGACACTTTCTTTGACACACCCTGTATAAATGATGTGTCGATGGCATACACCGTGTGTGTACAGTGTATATGTTTTGTGACATACACATAATATAATGCTGCGTAACAGCATAAGAGTATCTGAGAGCCCTCACATCACTAAATCTCAAGAATGGTGACTCAATGAATAAAAATACTTAAACAACTTTTAATATTTGAACTCTTATTCTTGTATAAGGCATATTTGTGGTATCTCTTTCCCTTTTAGAGAACTATGACAAAACGTGGTATTTTCAACATTCCTACCTAAATAAAATAAGATTCAAGGTCTGTACGAATTTTTAGCTTTGTGTGAATTTTTGCAAACTAAATTTTTATTTTGACTGGATTAATATATTTCATTTCAGTTTTTGTCGGGAAGTCCGAGTCGATATAGTGCTCGAAATAGCATCAAGGTTGTACACTGTTATCAATATATTTTTATCTCCTGTCACATTCATATAGTAACAACGTGAAAACATCACAATCAGACGAATAACTCGTAGCGATAAACTGATAAGAATTAATGATTTTGTTTTTTATTATTTAATCTGCAACAAAAATTACGTAATATACCTACTGATGATCTCACATTATTATTGTACTAATGTATGATTTCTTCTATATTTCCAAATTTGGATATTACAATTTTAAATATGTTTTTCTATAATCGACCAAAAAGGTACGTGTAAGCTCGTAGTTTGCAATATAAACTTGAAAGTTTTCCAACGACCGATCGCAAATGACAGCTTTGCCGATCTAGAGCGGCAAAATAGTAAAAGAGTTCGTTACTGGTTGCGATTGGACTAACGATGACACACTTCCATATCGCCAAAAAACCGTATGCCTATGCATATCATAGTAAATAATTATGTAATAATGATGAAAATACTTTTTGCAATTTTACAATATATGGACTAAATTAAAAAGCTTTAGCTGTGGGGAAAGATTTCTGTACAATTTGAGTGCAAACTTTAGGTATGTAGGGTGAATGTGCCAGTAACCTACCATATACTACCAGTATAGTCGGCCAAAAATATTATATTATTGATAAAAACTTGGTACCAGCTTTATCAACTAATTTGTGACAGTTTACAAAAATTTTACATCCACAGTTGTCATATTGACAACACTATTAGCGCGTCAAAACAGCATGCATTCAATTCCTCAATTTTACTCAGTTGGGTAGTGGGTGACACAAAGGCAAATGGAATCGTCAGCCGACAATATATAAATGCTGTTTTTGTTACATATGGAGGAGACATTCATAATAAGTGAAATAAATTAATCTTTATATGTTCTTTCAACATTTTGTGGTCAAATTGGATCACACTAGTCAAAATCCAATAGTTGGACAAGTGTCCGGCTACTGAAATGGCGTGTTGTTATCAATCTATCTTTTTCTATCTAACCACAGATACTATGAAACTTTTCTCTTAGAATAAACAAACCAAAATACGGCTAAAGCCCCAGCTAGTGGACACTCAGCGAAAGATAACAAATAATGTTGGCCAGTGGCTGGAATGAAAGAAGTTTCATAGTATGCCAATAACTGGACACTTCCGTTTTCCAGCCATTTTTTCACGAGCTTACAAAATGAAATTTCACATTTTCATTTCATTCGGGAGTGCATACGAAGAAAAAAATATATGTATATATAGTGAAGGCAGGTTAAAGCAGACAGTTAAACCTGTGGGAAATGTTGGGAAATTGACTGAAATATGTAAACAGTATGGTAGTTCAAAGTTGACAGTGCAGGACCGGATTAAAGGGAGAAATGAGATTCTAGTTCATTTTTATGTAGTTTATATGTATTTGAGATAAAGTTTAAAAGCTTCAGTATTCGTTTAATTCCTGTTCCTCAAAATCTCAACAACATAACGGATTTGAAATTTCTAATCTACTATCACAAATTTTTAAATACAGTTCTGTCCAAGGGCCGTATGATCAGTCGTTCCTACAATAATTTGTAGGATATGACCTCCTTGATTTTCATCGTTTTCTACTCTTCCGTGTCAGCGCTCTATCATGAGGTTTTGTTATAAATATCTATTTGCTTCAAATTGTTCATGCTTTTGATTTATATCATCTGTTATACAGGGTGTTACAGTTTATTGTTACATAACTTTAAGATTCCATAGAACTTTTAAAATTAATGCATAAAGTCTATATAAACATGGGTCGAAAAATGCGTGGCTTCCGAAATACAGGGTTTTAAATTTACTTTCTAAAATAGTTTTTTTTTAATATTTCGAACAATATTTGATGTATAACAGTGAAAATTGGTATACTAGGGTTTTTTGGTACGACAAAACGAACCATGGGCATAGTTTTACTGTAGCCGCTAGAGGCCGCTCTCTACTGTACCTGTAGTGTATTAACATGACCGAAAAAATTTTCTTAGTGCGATTTTTTGCTTTTTGAATAAAAAAAATGATTCCTCAACATAAAAAAGCTCTCCTGTGAATTTTCGTTATAGTTAGCCGTTTTGAGATATTTCGATTTTTAAGGTTCGATGCATTTTTAATTATTTATGATAAAATAACGAAGAAATAGAAGCAGGCTGTGCCTGCAAATATATTTTTGAAATTGAAAGTATGCAGTTCGGGAAAGAAATTTTCAGCATGAATTTAGTGTGAACGTGTGGATTGGTATCTACCGTAATCGACTATTTGGACCCTACCTTTTTGCCTGCAAGGTTAAATGATGCGACCTTCATGGAATTTTTAAAGGCTGAACATGCAAATATGTGGGATGATGTTATGTTAGATTTAAGAAGATTGGCCTGGTTCCAGCTTGATGGTTGTCCAGCTCATTATTCGAGAATAGTTAGAAACTGGCTGGACGAAAATTATCCAGAAAGATGGATCGGCCTTGGAGGACCAGTCGCCTGGTCTCCACGATCCCCTGACCTAAATCCATTAGATTTCTTTGTGTGGGGATTTCTAAAAGAAAAAGTGTACCAGACTCCCGTAACCACAAGAGATATGCCATCAGACAGAATCAGGAATGCATGTGATGAAACAAGGCCTTATTTGAATAATGCTATACCACATTCGATCATTCGTAGATGTGAATTGTGTATTGAACAATTGGGTTTACATTTCAAGCAACTACTTTAGATTTTGTATGTTTGTCCTAACTATCCAATAGCATTTTAGTTGTAAATAATTAATTTAATTTGTTAAAAATAATATTGGAAAATTAAACAAATTAATATTCTGTTTTTTTTTGTTTATTTGGAGTTAGGAATTATTGCTGTGTTTAAAAACACAATCTAAACAATCATCTTAATTAATTGTAATGCCCAAATCGAAAATGTAAAAAAAAAATATTTTCTCATAAATAATTAAAAATGCATCGAACCTTAAAAATCGAAATATCTCAAAAACGGCTAACTATAACAAAACTCACAGGAAAGCTTTTTTATGTTGAAAAGTGCGAAGAATCAGTTTTTTTATTCAAAAAGCAAAACACTGCACTAAGAAAAAAATTTCGGTCATTTTAATACACTACAGGTACAGTAGAGAGCGCCGTCTAGCGGCTACAATGAAACTATGCCCATGGTTCGTTTTGTCGTACCAAAAAACCCTTGTATACACTGTTATACATCAAATATTGTTCGAAATATTTAAAAAAAAACTATTTTAGAAAGTAAATTTAAACACCCTGAATTTCGGAAGCCACGCATTTTTCGACTCATGTTTATATAGACTTTATGCATTAATTTTTAAAACTTCGAATCTTAAAGTTATGCAACAATAAACTGATACACCCTGTATAGCCTGAAATTTTCTACAATTAAAGAAAAAACATTAGCCTGACAATAGGAGAGCGCTGATGCTGACAATAGAAATCTAGAAATACCCCAACCTTTCTGAAGTAAAGGAAAGACTATAAAAATCAAGGCCATAAAGGCATTCTACAATTGTAGGAACGACTGACGATACGGCCCTAAAACTAGCCAATAAAATGCTGTCCGACAATTGGCAACTAGCCGCGGACTAGTAGCACCTTCCGTCCAGGCGTCCAGTACTGGCAAAATAGCACCTTCTTGATTAATATTTTTTTACCAAATTACAGGAATATCTATAAGCAATGTATAGTTGTCGGCGAAAAGTTTACAACATATATGACCACCTTCAAAAACAGTTTAGTTAGCTTGAACACAAAATTACACTGTGTATTCCATTTTTGTCTAAACTGTCCGACTTCCGGCACATTCACCCTATCTAACTATTTGCGAACTTGCACTCTCTCGAAATATTGCAGCGATTGGCCTCGCGTTGCACACATTGAACGACTTCTCCAGTGGTAAAGTAGAACTTTCCGCTTTCAATCCACAAATAGCTAGCTATCCATACAAATTTTCAGTACCGATACGCAACTGATCATCGAATTCCTAAATCATTGACCAATCGATGTCACAGACTAGTTTATATGCAACATAAGCTCATCAAAAACGATATTAAAAAATATACCTAAAAATATAGTAAGGTAGTAAATAATTAATCTAAACAAAAATGGGATCCATAAAACCACAAAATAAACACTGGGTATATTAAAAAAAAACTTTCTGGAAAGTACATTTAAAAAGAATTGGTAGACGCCACGTCAAAACTTTACAACTGAAAAAAATATGGATCCATACAAGATTTCGGCTCTTTCCACCGGAAATGTGGACACCACAGGCCAAAAAAAATTTTAGAATCAAGCTCACAAAAAGCAAAATTTTCAAAACATCCATTATCCACGATCATATATATATATATATATATATATATATATATATATATATATATATATATATATATATATGTGTGTGTGTGTGTGTAGTATAATTATGCACAATTCCTGTGGAAAGTCTATTTTTCAAACAAAACAGTAATGCTATTTTTAAATGAGAAAAGTTCATTCTTGTACTCACTTCCGTTGTATTTTTTTCCTCCCATGTCAGATGGTCCAGTCTCCTTTTTTTCGCCCTCTGATGCGGTATTTCGATGTTCTGATCCATCGGGTAATCCTGATTGTTATTTTCCAAATATTTCAAAATTGAAGCCACAGCAGCAGCCATTTTCACTTGGCTCACTGCTAGATCTACTGTTTGTTTTTTGTTTATAAATTTTTGTTTATCAGTTGATCTAGATCTAGACTATTTGTCTGTTCCCGTTTAACTTCCGTTTGCTTCAAATGTCGATCAAAAACTGTTCAGTTTTCCTTTCTAGAACATCCTTTACTAGATTCTGCAACGCAAGTTGAAATACCGCGTTGCCGCCTTGACGCGACAAAAATCCTTGTAGAGCTGCCAGTTCATAGAAGCCCAGTCAATTGAGTTGTTTTATAAAAAAAATCAGGGAGGTGGTATGTCCGACTTCTATAATTATGTTTTTGAAAACATAAATATTGGTTAACATATTATAACTTAAGAAAATAAGCCTTCAATTTCTAATTTAACGTTTTCTTACTTCTACTACTATTTTTATAAGATTTCAATCTGAGTTTGGAAGTGGCAGGCCACGCAAGTTATTGAAAGGAATGTCATTTAGACCCTAACCGGCAACTAGCTTTTCTGGGGGAATTTACATGGTTTTATATTTTCTACATATAGACTGAAAATAATACAAGTTACATGGATCTCTTTAGACCTCTCGAATTCGCGGGCTCTAAGAAATACCGCAAAAAATGTTGCTTGCTCCTTAAAGAGCTTGAAAACAGCATAATAACCATGCTTTCCCGAAGAAAGGATCTACCTAAAATTTTCTTCTTGCAGTATCAAAAAGAATCTCGTGTGTTTTTAGTATTTGTGAAGCGACGTGATCAAAAAAATGTTGGACGAAAGTTGATAAAAAATGAACATGATTGTAATCATATGTGTCTCACTAGTAAGTAACGTTTCTTTCCATATTTTGTGGCCCATCACAGAATAAACATTCATGTATTGTATATCTCTCTCCAAACGACAAAAAATGCTCTTGAAGCTTTAAAACAAGGTTCGAAATCTCCATATTTAATCGCAAAGCGAGACAAAAAAAAATGACACGGTGTGTTTCTAGGTCCCTAGCTGGAATTATTTTTCTCACATTTCCAGCACTAACAAATACTAAAATCCGAAGGTCGGTACAATCCCATCCCAAAGCATTCCAACCTAAAATATTCGAATTAACTAACTGCTTTGCAAAGTTTGGGTGATTAAAATAACCTACGGATCAGGAGTTTCCACAATCGTTTTTGACTCTCCCCTCACGAAAACTCAAGTTACATCCATCGAGTCGAAGTGATCCCATCCTCTGTGAGCGGGCTGTGCCAAATGCTTGTTCCGCAAGTTGTTGTATTCAGTTTACAACTTCTTCCCATTCGATTATTGTACACGCGTTAAGTAATACCTCACTATCAACCGCTGGGTGACGGTACAAGTCCGCCAACCGGCGACTTTAGGTCTAATTAACATCGTTAACACGCAAAAAGAAGGTCGTAGACAAGGACCAGTCGACCGAGCTTTTCCCAGGGTGTCTTAACAATGTCCACATGTTGCCACACCCAAGCTACGCAGTTGGTTATCTTCCTCTAACAAAGAAAATGATGATGGATCCTTCGCGTACTAAGAATTCCGGACGTAAACGCACTCCACAATCGAATGTCCGGGTTGAGGGTGGGCTCGAGGGATGATAAAATTTGTTTCACGAACATCTGCGGGATTAACCGCAATCTATGCGTCCCGCCATGCTTTTCTTGGCGGAGACACATCAGTCACCCCGCTTCAGAGGTACTTCGCATCGGTGATTTCAATGCCCATAATGAGCTTTGGTTGGGCTCAAAAAAGGACGAGGCAGCAGGTCGTGCAGCTGCTGAAGAGCTCCTTCTTTTTTCTGCCCGCGTTTCGTCACACTCCAATAGCCTGCTCGATCTCTTTTTGGCCACGCATCCTGTCCGTTACAGCACTGCTGTCCTGTCTCCCCGCACGGCTATCATGAAAAAATCTATAAAACGTCAAAAAAAAACCTATAAGATGTCAACTTACAGACTAGGTTGTTTTTAGAGCGCTAACAGTCATTCCACGTTTGCTCACTAGGATCGTTGTGAACGTCCATCTATGGAGGAATCACTCAACTAAACTACGCATTATTGGTTGCATAGTTTTGTGAGGCTGAGTGATCCGGGTCTGTAGTTTTTATCTCTGAGAAGAAAGTTGGTTGAATAGCAAGATCGCATCTGGATGATTATTTGTATTGGTCTGCATGTGTATAAAATCAGTGAAATTTGCTGTGTGAGAAAATCGTTACTGAATATGACGGGTTATTTATATGTTGTGCTTTCTGAAGAAGTGATAAATTACGAAAAACTGAGGAGAATTACGAGAAATGATCACCGTACCCGCGTTGTGTGTAATTATTGTTAGCATGTATATGGCTTGCAATTCGACAGTGTACAGTGAATATAATTATTTCTTATCTCTCTCATTTTTTAAATTCAGCAAAAATGTATATGTAATTTCCAGAATGGATAAGAAAAAGTGGATGCGCAACTAATTTCTAGCTTTGAATCTCAATTAAGTGTATTTGAGAGAAGATAACCTAATATAATTATTACCAACACATACAACTTACAGCTTAGACCTCCAGTAATGCCATCTCAGAAGCAGATTTTACTTCACATCAGAGCCAAAGGTTGATAACAAGCCTCATATGACGTTTAGGCAACACGTACAACTAAGTGCTAAGTTAACATCTTGTAGAATAACCTACATAATGTAAAAAAAAAAACAGCATAATGTCAAAAAAAATTGTGTGACACTGCTCGCCAGCAGAAGATTAAGGCACACAGAACCTTCTTACAAAACCCCACCGTAGAGAATGAACAAGCCGACGTTGAGACAAGAAACAAATATAAAGAAGCGATCCTCAATGCCAAAGACCAGCACGATATAAAAGTTAGGCACAAGGTAATGACTCAGCGCAATGCCAGTCGGTCTTTCTGGACGCTGGCCAAGCAGATAGAACAGAGTAGCCTTCTACCACTTACGTGTCAGGATGGAACGATTGTAACTGACTCAGAAATCAAGGCGGGGCGGAAGTGCTTGCCAAGGTCTTTGCTGCCAACTCCACCACGGCATAAGACCGTAAGACGGGTGGTCTTGTCGGTCGACATCAACAAACCTCCTACCGTTGTATTGAAAAGGCTTTTCCCAGTTCTACCAACCTTAGGCAGTTCAAAAATCGGATTAACAAAATTTTTTGGAGCAGCCGCTGTATCCTGGCATTAAGGCTTCTGCATCCGCGGCTGCTTCGGTGTAAAAAAAGTCTATCTCAAACCTGGCAACTGGGCCAGATCGTGATCAGTATTTTGTACCATGTGGGAGACCCCCATATACATTATAGTTAACGAATCTAAATTCGAGAAATGTGAAAACTTTGTTAAAAACATGTATGTTCATTAACCGTTTAAGTTCTTGAAAGAAATTCGGATATTCGCAAAGTCCATGCTTTCAAGCAAGACGTGATAACGTCGCACGGACTATCGACCTTTGGCTTTTCTTTCATTCAGCCAGCTATGTGGTGCACATCTATTGGCTGGGAGGAGAGTACAAAGACGGGCGTTGACCAATCGGTGTACCAGAATCGTAGCGGTGAATTCAAAATTCATTATTAATTCATCGCGGGGAATTGTGCTTGTATTTAGGATAATGGAATGAATCATGAGGGAAAACACAGATGTTATGTTTGAAATGATGCAATCGATTGGGGTATTGTAACAGCTTAGAAAATTGTGGTAAATAGTAAAATAGTGTAGAGTGTAGGGCTGAGGGGCTCCTCTTCACGACGCACTAAAGTGTGTGTATAATATACACTGTATATACCTACATACTGAGATGCAGTTATTTGCTAATATGGTTCTTGCACATTTTACATTTTACTTGAAATTTGAGATGATGCAATTGAGAGGGGGTATATTAGCAATTTGAAATGAAAATATAATGTAGGAAAATGTACTCGGGGAGCCTACTTTTTATTGGGACGCGAATTTCAAATACGGTCACCAAAAAATCTTTTTGGCTAATCCTAGAGTAAAACTGACATCAGATTCGTAATCTGTGCACTAGATTTATTAGACATAAATTATGGTTGATATTTTAGGGCTGCACAAGACATTTTGAAAATTATATATCCTCAATACCCTTTAAAAAAATCACAGCTAGTCCAAGAAGTAGGTATATTCGCATCTGTTTGAAAAAATATTCTGATTCGATTTTCCTGTATAATCTTGTTCAAAAAAGACCCTCTTATCAAATATGGTTGTTGCCAGGCTCAAAACTGCGTAAAAAATTGCTTAGGCAATTTTTTTAAACAAATTCTGGACCGTGTTTCACTTGCCCCGATCTAGGTAGGTATTTAGGGTTTTTGAGTCATGCCTGAAGAACAAGATGTGAAATAAGTGTGCAATTTTTGACCCCGAAATAAAATTTTTAACATTTTAATGTTGCCAAACTTTCTAAATAGTGTTCAAACATCTATTAATGAAATCCAAAGCATTTTAGGTAGCATTTTCAGTGTAAATTTTTGTTTTTAATTGTTAATCAATTTCACGTCAACCTACCTAGGTAATAAAATGACTCATCGACGCGTAAAATTTCACATATGAGGTGTGGGAAAAAATTGAGGATTCAAAAATAATAAAGTACGAGGATCTGATCAGATTTTATATGTAAGCAAAAAGATCTCATTTTCCGAATTGGAAAAAATAGGGGACACCCGGGTTTGAACCGGGACCTCTCGATCTGCAGTCGAATGCTCTACCACTGAGCTATATCCCCAATGAAAACATTTTGTAAACGGCAAATAAGCAAATTACACTGCATATCGTTCAAATATTTCCATCATTCTATCTCAAATTAAAATTAGTTTTTAGACTGTGGATGGTAATTGTAAAACATACAAGTTTTGTGATGAGTTGTAGAAAATTAATTAGGTATTTTGGAGAATAAACGAAAACGGTCTATATTAATTTAGATGTCACCACCACATTAGTGTCATCTGTGAGTGCAGTGATTAACTCAATAGAACGTCTCAGTTCAAAGTCAACCCAGTAGGTGTCTCTCGCATTTGACAATCATATTCCGAATGACAATAAATACGAATATATGACGATAAAAATAGATGACGTATGACGTTGAAAAAATATTCCCCATTCGTCAAATGTTGATGCGGCTCTAGCAGTGTCTTTTTTACAATAAATAATAGTGCTGTTTGTCCTGCAGCGCATATACACATAAAATGCAGAGCTTATTGTGTATAGGAACGTTTAGGTTTAATTGTTTTCTATTTATTTTGGTATGTATCTTGCACCGGGAATTTCCGGTACTTGTATTTTTCTAATTAGCTTTTTCCATAAATATGTTAATTACTTTTTCGTCGATATGGGTGATATATTGATGACCAAGTGTGATAAAACATGGATGTATTGTGATTGCAAATAGAGTTCAAACTGTTCGATGTAGTTTACAGTTATACTTTGTTCTCAGGTAGCTGTAGTTTTCAATAATCCTACAGATAGTGGGGCTGTACAACTAACCCAGCAAAACATAGATATGACCTTAGGTAAGGAATCTCACAATTGTCTCTTAAAAAGTGTAATTATGAATATTATATTTACTTAACATGTTGACTGCCATGGCCATGGCATATTCAAAGATTCTGGTCCCAAAAGTAAATCTAATTTAATCATAGCCAACTAGAAGATAGCTAGCTATAAGATAACTCGTAGTTGGCGAGTTGGCGTCCTGAGCAAGTAAACAACCTATGAGATACCTCATAGTTGCTAGTCAACATAATGCTTGAGAACATATGGGAATTCCACATACAGTCTAATGGACTTAATCTTAACAAGATGTGCTGCCCATCATAATGTAATTCAGCAGAGACTGTCATGTTTTATAACTGTTGGACTTTATTGAGCAAAATTCCATTTTCATCTTCCTTTGTTACCAGCAAATGAAAATTGGTAATGCAATTTGGGGCATTAATCCTCAAACATCTTGTTGTGGGTGGAGCAGAATTTGGTTTCTTGGGATGCCTAGACTATCTATGCACCTGATTTACCGAGGGAAAAAAGCACCTGCAAAAAGTGTATTGAAATCTATGAAAACAGAAGTTATTTATAAAACCTGCAAGTTGGCACATAGCTGATTAGCTTTTAAGTCCCTACCCAGGATATTACGTGATCCATAGTTCTTTTTACTGTTTTGGTTACATCATCAATGCCAAGGACATCGCCAACCAATGGCCCTGAGTGGTGCAAGTTCATACGATGAGTAAAAAATGTATAAATTTTACACAAGTAGTATGGTGGTTGTGTAAAAACAGTATAAAGTCCAATGTCTGAATCTCCACGAGCTCTTGGCTGTACAGTAAATAAAACTTAAATTATGTTATTATATTATAATTATTATAATTGTTAGTTTTTCGATGTGTGGGAATGATTGATCAAACACATTAACTGAGTGTACCTAGGAATTTTATTGATTTGCATTTCACTACATTTTTCAGAGTCTCTAGGGGGGGTAGCTGCCCCCCCACCCTGGTGATGTCCTTGATCAATGTGATACAAAGTCAGTAAAGCTATATGAAAAGGATTGATTATCTATGTGATGGTTGTAGCTATTTTTATTAATCATGGATGAAAGCACTCTTCACAAATCAATTTTTAACACAGCCGCTGTGTGTGCACACATGAAAATGATAGTGAGGGCCATTCTTTTATTCTGGTAATTCTACAGTTTTAACACAGAATGTCATCATTGTCTACTTATTGAATTTCCTGACATTACTACAGTGTATAATGGAGATAGTTGTCACATATTGACAGTGTCAAACCTAGTTGCATAGTTGAACAATACTCATACATTATTACAAAACTTCCACTCTCAAAGGTACAATGTTTTTATGTATCTATGAGGGAGATGGAGATATGAAAATAATACTAAGAGCTCTGTGACATGCCAAAACCATAAAAAGAACTATAGCTTAGTATCAAAAGAGAAATTTATATTTAGAATTTTTTTTACGTGTAAACAAAGTATTCCTTTCAGCTTCGAATGAGCTAGTATTTATAAACTTCTATGCGGACTGGTGCCGATTCAGCAACATGTTGATGCCCATCTATGATGAGGCAGCTGAAGAAGTTGCAAAGGACTTTCCAGAAGCTGGAAAAGTTGTTATGGGAAAGGTGGACTGTGAAAAAGAATCATCAGTTGCCTCTAGGTTCCATATCACCAAGTATCCCACCTTGAAGGTTTGTTATGAATACTAGCTAATTTTTACAGCTCCTGCACAGTGCAAATTTATAAGTGTTCTGAGTCATCATTTTACCAATGTGCTGCTGGAATCCCATGCAGATCTCAGTAGTGGCAGGATATATATCTTTATTATAATTGATTTTATTTCCTTAATGATTTTTATGAACAGAAGATAATGAGCACTCATCAAATGTAGATTCATCTTGATTTCAGGTTATTATTTTAACAAATTACATAAAATGATGTCACTGAGTAATTAAAGAATCCAGATTATTTTCATTCCGCACCATTTATCTTCCTAATTCCAATGGTTTGCAAGTCTTTTGAGGGCCAATATATTTTAGAAATAGGGTTGAATTGAGAAACTCCATTTCACTGTACTATTATGGTAAACAATACATACTTTACTACCTATATCAATTTAGAAATAATCATATTCGAAAATGTAAACAGATTTGTGTATTCATTAGCCTAGAAATAACAATGCACTATTTTCTTCTAATAGAATTAGTATTTCTATATACCATATTTTCTGCTGTGCTGTGCATGACATAGTTGACAGTAGTTTATAAATGTATAATATAATGACTATGAATCCATTCATTTAAAGTCACATAATACCTGCAAAAAATTAGAATAGTATATATATATATATTCTTACATAGAAATGAAAATTCATTTTAAAAAAACGGTGCATTTTTATTCGATAGATATCAGTATAAGAGAATTTATTCCAATACTGTGTGATTTAGGTGATAAGAAATGGTCTACCAGTAAAAAAAGAGTACCGAGGGCAAAGATCAGTGGAGGCTTTCAAAAAATTTATTAAGGATCAGTTAGAGGATCCTGTGAAGGAATTCAAGCAGCTCAAAGAATTGGGAGAGCTAGAAACTAACAAGAGAATCATTATAGGTAAAGTATTCACATTTTGAATGATTCTCATTATTGATTGAAAAAATGCTTCCCAAGTTTTTTGCGATTATAATCCTTTCCTAGGTAACTAGGTAATAAGCAAATTATTTATAAATATTGTTGAACTATACTAAGTGACATATAAATCCGAACACCCAGTTTAAATGGTTTTATTTTAATAAAAGTTGGTGAATGTATTTATCTTACTGTAAATAACAAGTGAAAAAATTTTCAGCCTTATCAGTTGGACATTCCGGTTTTTATACTGCTTTTTTTTTAATTCACTAACGCTCTAAAAATGAATATTTCAGCTGCAGTAAAGAATCAACGTTGGCGGATTTTGGTTCTTGACATCCTTTACGATCGGTTACGATGCCTAGAGTACGGAGACCTGTACGATTTCGTCAACTTAGTGAGTTTGATAGGGGCCGTATAGTGGGACTTCGGGAAGCTGGACTTTCTTTTCGGGCAATTGCAGTTACAGTGCAAAGAAGTGTAGACACTGTGGTTAGGTGTTGTCAGGCATGGCTTCGAGAAGGCCGTACGCAAAGAGCAAGCGACACTGGACGCCGCCGTAGAACAACAGACCGTGAAGATCGCCGCCTAAGATTATTGGCCTTAAGGGACCGTTTCTCCACTACCAGGTCCATTGCAAATGAATGGTTTGCAGAACACGGAAGACCTATTGGCATGCGAAGTGTTTACCGACGAATGAGAAGTTTTGGCTTGTTTTCATACCGGCCACACTGGGTCCTCCCTTTAACTCGAGAACACCGACGTAATCGCCTTGAGTGGTGCAGACAATGGTCACTCTGGGATCAGGAATGGAACAGTATTGTCTTTAGTGATGAGTCTCGATTTTGTTTAGGCATGCACGATGGTCGTGCCAGGGTTAGAAGGCGACGTGGTGAAAGGAGGAATCCACAGTTTCACACTGTTGGAGTTATGGTTTGGGGTGCTATAGCTTATGGTTCCAGGTCACCTTTAATCTTCATCAGAGGTAACATGAACGCGCAGCGTTATATCCGCGAAGTTCTAGAACCCCATCTATTACCCTATCTTGACACCCTGGCAGATCCAACTTTCCAACAAGATAATGCCCGACCACATGTTGCAAGAGTCACAATAGACTTCTTTCAACATAATGATGTCACATTGTTACCATGGCCACCAAGATCTCCCGACTTATCCCCAATTGAGCACGTGTGGGATATGATGGGTAGGAGATTGCTCAATTTGCAACGTCCTCCTCAGACTCTAGAAGCACTTCGAGAGGAGTTGGTGGTTGCCTGGAATGAGATACCACAGGAGGACATTGACCACCTGATCAGAAGCATGCCTAGGCGCGTTGGAGAATGCGTAGCACATCAGGGTGCATCCACACATTATTAAAGGTCAAAGGGCTTTAAAGCAGTGCAATCATTTTGAAATTTTTATCATTTACTTATTATGCTTCATTAAGTACTTATACAAAATTTTATTAAAATAAAACCATTTAAACTGGGTGTTCGGATTTATATGTCACTTAGTATACAAGTAACATACCGTTTAGGTAAATATAAATATTACATTTGTGTGCAAAAGTAACTGATAACATTGCAGGTTTTCCATTTTATTTTTTTTGTAAACATATCGAGCTAATTATGAGCTACTTGATGATAATTTTAAAATAGATATGATAAAAAATTACTGCATTTAGAGTGGAAAAAATATTTTGTATTTAGTTGGAAATATTCTGTTTTATAAGATAGTGAAACCGATTATTGTTCAAAAACATCAATAATATTTTGAAGTTTTGCTTTGATCGGAGATTAACAAATCATTAGGTCTTTTAGACCCTACTGATCAAAACTCAGTGGAATATATGTTAGGTATCAATTGATAGAGTAAATTACAGATCACATCATTCACAAGTGTTGAATGACTGGAAAAACTAAAATATGCTAAGTATTTTTAGTTTTTTATTGTATGGTAATTTGGTAATCTTGTAATGACCACGATTTTGAAAGTTGTGACAAGTAGGTGGAATTAATCATATCAAGCAGGTTGATTTAGTGATATCAGCACAAAAATATATTACAGTTAAATTTCAAAACCCCAGATTTTTTACTTCCCACGCCTAGTGGCGGGGAAGTATTGTAATCGCGAAAATTTTCGAAAATGAGATATTGGTTTTTGGATGTTATATGACATGTACATCACGAAAAACTATGTCACTCATTTCCGTCTGTCTGTCCGATAATATAATCGCATATAACTTGAGAAGTACTGCTCGGATTTCGATGAAATTTTTACACAATGTACTATGCCAAGGATGCAAAAGCATTGTAGTTTTTGAAAATCGGTCAAAAAGCGACAGAGAAAAAGAACAAAAACTAAAAAAATTCTCAAACTTCTTCTTTTGACCTATTAGGCATATTTCACACATCGTAGATTTCTCCATATAGCTCTTAAAACTTGGAAAAATGTTTTCGACATTATTGTATATTCAGCGCAGTCAGATGGCGCGGCTGCTGCTCCCGGCCTTGTAACAGCATAATGATTCTGACCCCGCTATCACGTCTGACGTGGTTACGTATACGGGAAAGGTGACGTTTTCACACGTACTACCGGGAAAGAACATCTATTGGCGAATTTAATGGACCTGTTTGACTGACTTTTGTCTCAAAGTCTAGTTTGTGCTGAACATATTCCTTTATGAACTGATAACGGCGTTGGGTGGGAACCTACTTGACGCAATTTTTTGCAGCGAGTTTCAATAATATTCGATATCGTAATGGACATTTCAAGATTTTGGAGAATACCAGGATTCTCTCTCATTCATTTATTATTAACTATTGTCACAATGGAAAATTCAGAATCAGTCTACTTGACGCTGAAAGACCACAATGTAACCCAATAAATATAACTATTTTTGCGTTTTTTAAGGTTATTTTGATCGACGAGATCAGCCAGAATACAGTATTTTCCGACGTGTAGCTACAAATATGAAAGATGAATGTCAGTTTCACGTGGGATTTGAAGATGCTTCTAGGCAAATGCATCCTCCTGGACAACCTATTGTGGTGTTCAGGTATGTTATCTCATTCATTAAACCAGTAGAAAGTTAAACAAATTAATCAAATCCGAATCCATTTAAATAACATATTTGAATTTTTCTCTGCTCAAAATATTCGTAGTATTGTTTAAAATTAATATGCTTAATGATTTTTTAAAGGCCAGATAAAGAACGTTCCAACGACTTGGATGAAACCTATCCAGGAAGCTTGACGAGTTTTGACGAACTTCACATCTGGGCATCGCAAAAGTGCGTTCCTTTAGTCAGAGAAATAACGTTCGAGAACGCTGAAGAGTTAACGGAGGAGGGGCTGCCGTTCCTGATTTTGTTCCATACGCCAGAAGATAAGGCGAGTGTTAAGAGGTACAATGAGATTGTGCAAACGGAGCTGATCAGCGAAAAACGTAAGTATCAGTTTTGAAGCAAGAGCGTAAAGTATTACTTTACTACTCCTTCGGTTCTTTTGACGGTTTCAGAATCTATTACTCAAAATGTGTGACTTATGAGGCAACATTCTCATTTTCATCTCTCATTCTTACAAGCAAATGAAACTTGGTCCACTAAGAGCCTACATTTGTAGGCCGCCTTTATGGCCTCCTTGGTTTTAACACTATTCTCAGTGACATTAGAAGTGTTGCACCCAGAAAAAAATTTCTTCATCTTGTTTTTTGGCAACATAATGACTATATTTAAAGCATGCTGTGGCAACAATGTCAACGTTTTATCTTTGTTTTTGTTTACCTGTGTTAAAATGATATATCTTAGTTTTTGTGAAGAAAGCAATTTTTGAGAGCTGAGTAGTACAGATATTTTTAGTTATTGCCCTTTCATTTACTAGTTTTAAGCATAACAAATTGCCTCGAGTTTGAAGACGTCCAAATTATCACCATGTTAGCGACTTTGACAGGGGTAGAATTATTACCTATCGAGATGTTGGTTTCTCCTATCGCGAAATTGGCCGCCGAGTTAATTGTATTGCAATGACGGTAACGCGTGTGTGTATAGAAGTAGGTAGAGGAACACCAAGAAGGCTAACTGATCCACCGAGGCGTACCACAGACCGTCAAGATAGGCGCTTCACAACTAGCCCTACGAGACCGATTTGCTATTACGCGTCAGATCGCTGACTTATGGTTTGGAGAAAAAGGTTACTGTGCATACACTCTATCGCCGCTTCGAGCCTTGGGCCTTTTTTCATACCGTCCACGGTTAGTGCTTCCTCTGACTGCGGAGCACTGTCGTTAGCGTTTGAACTGGAGCAGAGAACGGCAACATTAGGAGCCACAATGGCATAATGTCATCTTCAGCGACGAATCGCAATTCTGTCTAGATACGCACGATGGTCGTAGAAGAGTAAGACGCCGCCGTGGACAAAAGAGTGATATTGGATTTGCTGTTGAGAGACATGTACACAGGACTGTTGAAGTTTTGGTTTGGGGGTCTATTGCCTATGGTAGCCGATCACCCTTTCTCTTTGTTCAAGTCAATATGACTGCTGCACGTTATGTTAATGATGCCATACAAATCACTGTACTGCCGTATCTAGAGGGACGTCCGCACGTCTTTTTTCATCAAGACAACGCACGTCTCCATATTGCTCGTCGTACTACGGACTTTCTTCAAGAATCCGGCGTTAATGTTTTGCCGTGGCTATTATGCATATTTCACACATCATAGATATCCCCGTACATTTACCCTTAAAACTTGATGGAGATGGATGTGTGTGTGTCTAAGTCGGTAGTAGCTGCCTTACTACCATGGGTCGTCATCTACACGAATTTAGACATAGCAACGTTCATAAGCGCTTGCAGGATTTTTTCTCAGGGGAGAGGGAGAAGGTCGTTCATAGGCAAGATGTAACTTTTTGTGAGAGCGTACATGCTTCCAAAACCTATTTCCAAATTCCAAAAATCCACAAAATATTTTACATAAAAGCATGCTGTATTTGCAATTTTTAATTGTATGTGCCTGTTTGACTGGCATTGTTTTTTGTTATACACATTGGTAGCTAACGTTTTTCTCAGCCGAACACAATATTTTATCAACTGATCACAGCATTGCATTGGAACCTATTTGACGCAATTGTGACTTCCCACACCACACTGACAAGGAAGTATGTGCAAAAAATTACGAAAATGATATATTCTGATTTTTGGATGGTATATCACGAAAAACGATGTCACTTATTTCCGTATGTCTGTCGGTCCGCTAAGCCTTGGACCACCTGTTCGGATTTGGATGGAATTTTTACACAAGGTTCCTACTATGCCAAGCTGCCAAGGACGAAGAGGATTTGTAATTACGGTCCAGTGGATGCGGAGAAAAAGGCAAAAAACGAAAAAAAAAAACGCTCAAACTTTGTTTTCTGACTTTTCAGATGAATGTGATCATTTTTCTAAAAATTATTCAGATTATCCAGATAAAAATTGAGGGGGGGTGAAGGTGTATCGCAGTTTTTTGATGTTAGTAGATTGATACACTTTTAACCCCGATAATTCTACGAACATAGCAGACATCTTTCACACATCATTGATTTCCCCGTACATTTGCCCTTAAAACTTAGAACGTTCGAAAAATGTTTTGGGCAAGCATACCTGCGTCTGTCCTCGCTTGACTGCCGCTCTGTGGGCGCTCTTCCGCGTCTGACGCATCATGCATTCAAATATTGAGGAGAGGCAATGCCACATTGCCAGATGGACGGTACTATGGGAAGTGCAGCGAAAGAATGTTACTTACTTATTTGAGGGACTTAGTCGGTTTAATTTCTGTGTTTTACATGTTCGTGACTAACTTTTTTCTGATATGGTCTAATTTAAACATGCTGCTTTAGTCCATTTGGCCACAGATAACCATCTACAGACAGCTGTTTCGTGTCCTTTTGGCAACTCATGAGCATGATGTTCCAGGCTATGTCTCTGGGACAACGAACGAAAGCATAGCAACTACCCTTTATCCAGTATATATGGTCAATAAGGCTGTCTTATTTCGATAGGGTCTAACTTGTGCTGAGCCCACCTACTTGACGTCATTTTTTGTTATTCCAGAAAACATCAACTTCTTGACGGCTGACGGAGAGAAGTTTTCACATCCCTTGCACCACTTAGGAAAAAGCTCCAAAGATCTGCCTTTGATCGCAATCGACAGTTTCAGGCATATGTACATGTTTCCCGATTACAAGGTAAAGAAACATAATAGATTTTATGAATCCAGTTAATTTTGAGTATATTCGTAAATAATAGGAAAAATCTGAATTGAGTGATCATGATCTTTGTTCTAATATCCCCACATTGAGAGTTTAGCCAAAAATTTTAGGGTGCCTATTCGCTAATGAATTCCAGATCTATCCTAGTAATGACGTAGAGAAATGCGACCTGTCTAAGACTGCATTTCTAACGTCCACCTTGCTAAAGTGGGGCACAGGCAGGAAATATATTAGTGGAGTGCCGATATATGTAAAAACAGGATCATCTAGATAACGTTTTAAAATTCGAAGGTCCATAGGCGAAACTAGGAAAAAATAGCGTAATAAATAGTATTAAATCCTATTTCCTTGAAAATCTTTATTGAATACAATTGCTGAATAAAGCTCTCCAAGTTCTGCAGTATAAATTGAATGCACTGCACTGCCATTTCTGAAATGTCACGGGGAAAAATCATTTCAAAAATCTTGTTTTTAATCTGAAGTTAGCCAAACATGAATATCTATCATCTTCTAACATGTGAGATTGTGTTGCAAAAAATCACGCTTTTTATCAATTTGTGCTGATTTTTCCCTTAAATATGTCAATAATGAACTTTGAAATAACCTATTTTTATTATTTTTCTCTATGCGTTCAAAAATATTTGTTGTCTAGATTTATAGTAAGAAAATGTCCTCGGAGACAAAAAACTTGTGTTGACATGTCGTGTGCATGTCGCGGTATTTCTGTTGAAAGAAGAAAATGATTTCGCCTTATAATGAGCGGTTGACGGGATACGGATTATTTCTTCGCTCCTAGTCATTTTGCCACTTTGTGAGTAATTACTGACACTTGCCAGGAATGAGGGCTCTTGCCAGTAATATTGCCAGGAATATCAACAGTTTTTAATTTCTCTAAATTTTTGTATTCATAACTATCGTCATATTTGCGCATTTTACTATTCGCCAGTAGGAAGGTAACTTTCGGGACAAAGGAGCGGTCGCAACGGCCAGTTTTGGATGTACGAAGTTCGACACGGTTAGGATGGGAGACCAAAGTCAGGCGGGTCTGTTTGGCAGGTACATCGCGCGTCGGCATCATGAAAGAGAGCTCTGAGGAGCAAAGCCCGTTGATGTGCGAGAGTGTCTGTTAGAGAAGAGTCATCAATCAGTCGGTCAGCCCTCCTCTCCACAACATCGAGCATAAATAATGTAGTCGGGGCGGCAGCACCCCAAACGTGTGAGCAATACTCGAGGCTAGGCCTTATCTGGGCTTTGTATAGAGTGAGAAGGTCATGCGGAGAAAAGTACTTCTTAGCCCTGAACAAATAGCCTAGCTTTTGCCCAGCAGCTGTCGCTATTGACGAGATGTGTTCATGCCAGATCCGTCGAAACGGGATGAGCACTAGGTCGCTTTTTGTTCGTCAAGGTACAGTACTGTGTTTTGGGAGCATTAAACTACGCAAGATTGTTGCGTCCCCAAGTAGTGATAGCCTCCAGGTCTCTCGTCGCTAGTTTTCTTTATTCCAGCTCATCGGCAGAGATCGGGTCTCTCTGAATTTCTGCATGTAGAGTGCTGTCATCAGCGAAGCTGTGGATTGGGTTGATCGTGTGGGAAAGGAGGTCGTTGATATGTAAGAGGAACAGTGTCGGAGCTAAGACCAATCTCTGGGAACACTCGCGTTGATGTTGTGGAATGAAGAGGAGAACCCGTCAATTACGACGGATATCTTGCGGCTAGAGAGAAAGTCAGCCACCCATCTGCAAAGCTTTTCTGGGAGGCGATAGGATGGAAGTTTGCATAAGAGGGCAGCGTACCATAGCTGATCGAAGGCTTTCGTGATATCAAGAGCAACGACATGAGCCTCACCATAAGACTGGATGAGTTTACTCCACAATTGCGTAACGTAAGCTAGGAGGTCGCCTGTGGATCGCTGGTGCCGGAGACCCTACTGCCTGTCGGTAATCAAGCCGTGTCGTGCGAGGTAGTCTAGAAGCTCGCGATTTATGCACCTCTCCATCACCTTACTTATAACAGAATGCAAAGCTATAGGCCTATAGCCTATAATTTCCAGTTTTCTGGGAAGGTGCCGGATTCATAAGATATCTCTAAGAGACGCGAAAGAACTGGAGCAATATGTCAGTTATTTGATTCGTCGATTTGTTTTAAATCACGATTAGAACTGAAACATTCAATTGATCTAAATCATGATTTAAATTGTTGAAACCCTGCCGTGAGAGAAATAACACTAATGGTAGAAATATACTCATATACTACAAGACGTTAAATAAACTGAGACCACCGAGTACAGACTCAATTCACTGAGCCCACTGTATTCACTCTGCCCATAGCTCGAAATCTGTAGATGTTTGTATTGAACGTCTGTAGGTAGGTTTATGTCGCACTTCTTAATGCAGCTTCGCCAAAGGTTACCAAGACTAGAAAACGATCTTGAATCTCTTTACCATGTTGGTTTCTGATAAACCTGTCATTGTCTCTGTCTGTTAAAGTTTGTACACTAGGAAACTTACTCTGCATTTTAGCATTTGTGTCCCTATGCCACTTCAGTACGGTACACGCGAGAAATGCGTTTTATATGCATGTCCCTATTGCAGATGGATAACGCAGTAACGCCTTAAAAACAGTTTTGGTTTTGTTTTATTTTAAACCTAATATAATTTCGTATTTTCCAGGACATAGAAAACCCTGGCAAACTGAAAAGCTTCATCCAAGACTTGTACTCTGGCAAGCTGCACAGGGAGTTCCATTATGGTCCAGCTTCCGGTTCACAGACTGAGGCCGAAAAACAACCTACGAAACCGCCAGAAAGTACTTTTAAGAAGTTGGCACCCTCGAAAAATCGGTACACATTATTGAGGGATGAGCTCTAAAAAGTATTATGCTATTTGTGTAATCTGTTACATTGATGATGTAAATGTTATCACCAAGACCACTAAAAACATAAAAGAATGGTCAGCTTTGTCGGGTTATCTGTATTATTGAAGACAAGAAGCATCATTGACATTCGGTTTTGAAGATTATTTTTTCGAAATGTTGCCCGTTTACGGGATCAATGTGGTCTATTCTGAATTTCCAATTTCTAATGACGCTTCCTACCGTTATCGCGCCATAATGACGCCTGAAGCCAAGCCCATAGTCTTCAGAAAGTTTCGTTCTAATAAGACGGTGCGGCACTGCTTGTAGCACGATTTGTGCCCATAAAACCATGGCTTTACTATGACAATTTGGCGAGCGTTTTTGTGCCGATAAATTTTCCGCCTAGATCATGTAATGTCACACCATTAACTTTTCCCATTGCGGGTACGTCCATGGCCGTTTCCTCCCCTAAGAATCCGGGCAGACCTTAAAATCTGCAAATATAGCATGATTTTTATAGTAGTGGTCGAGGACTATCGATAGTCTGCACTATCGATAATTTATTATCGATTGTCAGTCCTTTGACCATCGATTATTATCGATAATATACGATAGTCATAATAATTAGTAACTAAGCAGTTACATATTAAGTTATTTTTGAAATAAATTATGTTTTATAGGAGATCATAGACGTAAAAAAACTAAATCGACCTCTTTAAATAACATATTTATTCTTGAATTTTAAATTACTGCTGGTACATGGAATAGTTCTTAATGTTTTTGTGTAGAAATGTTAGCTTATCTACATTTGCCGGCTTTAGGCGAGATCGTCGTTCAGTGATTATTTGACCTGTTGTGCTGAAACATCTTTCTGATTCCACTGAAGTTGCCGGGATACACAAATATTTGGCAGCACACTCGTCTAACGGAGATAATCCATGTCCTGCGATCTATAATGATAAATTTGTCATATCATAATAACTTTTTTTTGTAATTTACCTTCCAATATAAAAGAGGGTCCGTATCCTGGTCAGAGTTTATAGATTCTAAATACTGTCTTTTGGTGATGATCACGTCTGCAGTTAGACTTTATCTTTAAATCAATCCTTTCTTGTAAAAAAGCAAAAAGTGCACACGATGTGCCTGGTTTTTCTGTTACAGATATATTTTGATTTTGATCCCCTATTGTTTTTTCTGTTCTTCCTTTTTTTTCAGTATGGAAATCATGTCAGAATCTAACAAATTTATGGCTGCAGAGGCATTCGCAGGAATGCGGAAGCCTTCTTTTTTGAATCTAGGGTCCAACAATGAAGCTGAACTGAGTCAATAAGCCCCTGAATCTGAATTTTCTTCCATCGTCTGTCTAGATATTTGTTGAAGTTATTTTTAAATTATTATAGAGTCCCATAGTAACTGGAATTACTAATGATATTGTTAAATATTTGGACCCTGCAAAAGTCCAAAAAAATAATATATGACATAGTTGGTTGCTCAAGTAATTTTGTTTAATACCTGATTTTTTTTGTTGCCTCCTCATAAATTTCTAATACTTCTACTAACTCTGTTAAAACACAATCATCTACAGAAAGAGGTTGAGGTGCTTTTCTGACTTGTAGCAATGTTCTACCAATTGCTTCTTTGATTTTCAAAATACGCTCAATCATGTAGTAACTACTGTTCCAACGTGTGGGACACTCTTGTATAAGCTTTAAAGGCTTTTCACTATCTTGTTCTTTTTTAAATATGTACTTACTTTTTTTGGTTCGCTGCTTTTTTGCCATCTCTTTGGATAAATTTCTCCATGTTGCAAAATGCAATGCAAATGCAAAAATCTGTTGGCCGTTTTCTTGAAGTTGACGTTAAAGTTTTGACAGTTGACGTTGACAGCGTTGACACGTCATTTGATGTTTTTGACAATACTGACATATTTCGGGTTTCCTAACTGCTCATAAAGCTCGTGTAAAAGAATATTCTTATTTATTTTAACCGTACATTAGAGAACCGATTAGTTGTGATGAAAAAAATAAAACTTGAATGTCTTTACTTTATGGAAACTGGTAAATAGTAATAAAGACATAATTATCGAAAACTATCGATGGTGTGAAATGTAATATCGATAGCATTCGATGCAGGAGCGGCTGGCCCTTAAGTTCTGCAGAACTGCCAAAACTTTTGTCTTAACAGAAAAAGGCAGTAGTAATTTGATCATTATTTATTTTCCATGTTATCACACAAATAGAAACAATACCGGCAACGCTGTCCCCGCAAGACACGGCGTCGAGTCTGTTTTGTATTGAGAAAGCATTATAACCGACCAATTGTGTACTTTTCGTCGCGACCGCAGCTTAACATTATTCATGGAAAACTTGAAAAGGGTCTGTGCACTACTTCGACACAAGCCGCACGCGCTTGCTTTTGTCTCTTTCTACAAAATCAAATGCGCGATTCAAGCATAAGCATGTTCTTCGAAATACTATGACCCAGGATCGCCTTACAGCATTGTCGATGCTGTCCATTAAAAAGGAATTTATTTCGACCATGGAAAATTTCAACGGGAAGGTGATTGACAAATTTGCTGCCAAGAAGGAGCGCAGGATCGAACTGACATATAAAAAATAGGTAAGTTCGGATTTGCAGAACACCTGTTTTATTTTGCCACGAGCCGCCACTGATTTGATGGTATTCACTATCGATAGGCTATCGATGGTTCTCGATCACTATTGTGTAGACCTTTGGTCATTTTTAGGTGTCTTCCTTGAAAAAATTTCCTTTTCTTCTCTCTACAAAAAGTTTTAGAAACACTGTCATAGAAAGTTATCTCTTGAAAAGAAAAAATAGTGCTGGTCCCATAGGTACGTCTATATATAAGGCAGAGTAGGTTTGAGAAAAGGAATCAACATTACTCGAGTTATTCACCAAATATCACTCAAAATGGACCTACCCATAATCGAATTGGAATTCCAAAAGGACCACGTTATCAGTCGCGATGCCTCGGTATTTAGGTTTCTGCCTGCGCGACCACTTCAGTATAAAAAATGACGTCAAGTAGATTGCCTTGGTACATTTTACGCAACGCCGTGATCAGTTCATAAAAGGATAAGTCCAGCGCAATTTAAATCCTCTGAGAAAAAGTCAGTTACGAACGTGTACAACAGAGAAATTAATCGGATCAAGTTAATCAGATAGGCCCATACAATTAGTCCATAGACATTCTTCCCCACAGCTACCGACAGTTACTGTCCATCTGGCAACGTTGTCCCTTTCCTGGGCAACGCGGCAACACATATACTCCCTTTAATAGGTTGTCATCAGGGTTTTTATATTCAAAATGTGAATATGTTTACTTAATTTGAAGATTTCCCAAAATCTGTGTTTGTGATCATTCAAATTTCGAAGCAGTAGATTACCATAATGTACGTGCTATAAACTTGGTGATTTCATGTACAGTTGCCGTCAATAATACCAAGAGTATCAATGAACAGGTTTACAAAATGCCCCAGTACGTATTTTGTACATAAAATTTGAAGTATGTGATATGCCACCATACCTTTTCTAATAGTGCTTTTAACTGAGATATACAATACGAGGGGGTCGTTTTCATATCACTAAGTACTTTGCTTTTATAATCTGGCTTCTAGCTTTACGAATAAGTACTGTTCGGAAATGATTCATTTCTCAAACATTTCAGAGTGTCTTCTAAAAATCACTTAGCTGATATGAAAACCACCGCGAATAGCATAAAATGGTATCTCAAAATTTTTACCGAGGAAGAATGGCGTAATATACCATATTTTATTTAAAAAAATGTATTCGAATCAAAACAAAACCGACACATTTATGTTCAAAAAGCGCTTCCTTCATTTTTAATGCATTTAGTAGGACGCTTTTTTGATGCAAACCTTTCCGTACTGATAAAAGCATATTTTATAACTCTGTCGCTACTTCTAAACCAGTGATATTTTTGCATAGTTTTACTGTAATTTGATTTTTGTTGTATAACTTTATCTCATGTTGAATATGTGGTCAGTGAACGTCAATTTGCTTGAAATTTGTTTTTAAAATTGTTTGATTATATACACTGAAAACCAAATACCACTGATGTCGTAATGTGTACGAGGGAGAAGCGTGCAATACGTGTGTTAGAAAGAGATAGTAGCACCTCTTTGCTACCAAACCGAGTACGATATCACGGATGCCATCGGCGCACTCTTTCTAACTAACATTTTGCACGCTTCTCGCGCTTCTCTGTCGTACACATTACGACGTTAGCCAAATTTGAACCACACCGTATAATAATAGGATAGATATTAAAAAATGTAATACATAAAATTTGATAATAGCAAATGCGTGAAACTTAATTTTTGCAAGAATAAGTATTTTACTTAATATTCTGTGAATATTGTAAATTGCATTGATGTAAATACTTATATTTTTTTTTTAATAAACGAATACCATGAACTTTGTAAACATTGTGGTTTATTCTATCCTTAAAGAACCGAAGTCCATATAAGAATTTGAAAGCAGTTGAGAAAATACTTAGGTAGTAACTAGAATTGACAAAGGAACCCAAATAAAAAACGTTGTGTATTTCATCATTAATTTTATTGTAAAAACTACTCCAATCCATGTATAACAAACACTGAAAATTTCTGGTTAAAAAAAACGACTTGATGGATTTTGACATATGAGGTACTGCTAGATTCGTCCCAGCAGTGCGACTGATACTGTGTGTATTAACATTTTGTAAAATCAAAATGGCGGATTTTTTACGTAAATAGCCAAATCAGCTTAATGAGCTTGGGCATTCAACTCGACATTCCAGATGCGGGATCGTTCAATCGTCGATCCGAACGAAATTACTAAGTCAGGCAATGGTCCAGCGCGGAATTTGTATTTAAGCATCTATTTGATATCTTAGTAGAATCATGTCATATTCTCCGCGAGATTATGCAGAATTGCATTACTAGGAAATGCTCGAGCAGCGGCTCGCATGTATCGGGAGTATGTGGTTAGAAGAGGTGGACCACAACCGGCGGTATATCCCGACTACGCGTCCATAATGCATATATGCATATAGGAGTGCCGAGAATACGCCCAGAAGAAATAGAAGATATAATAGAAGCAGCCGAGAGAGATCCCTCAATAAGCACCAGAGCCATTGCCCGAAGCAGAAACAGATCCCATACTTCAGTTCACACAATACTCCGTTCGGAGAACATGCAGCGACTATCAACAACGGGTTGAATTTTGTGAGAATATGTTGAGAAGGTGCGAAGAGGATGAAACTTTTTTCGATAGCATCTTATGGACAGATGAATCCATCTTTAACCGAAATGGAATATTAAACATGCACAATTTCCGTTCATGGAGCGTGGAAAATCCTCAGGCTATTCGCCTACACAGCTTTCAACGTCAGTTATATGGTTTTAAGTTTTAAAGGCAAAATGATCAGGAACCTCCAGGATCGTCTAAATACCTAAAAACGATGTTGGGACGATTTTTATTCTTTGCGTTTTTTGCCTTTTTCTCCGCCACTACTGGACCGATTTTCAAAAGCTACAAAACTTGTTCGTCCTTGGCATAGTAGTAACATTGTGTGAAAATTTCATCAAAATCCGACCAGTAGTTCCCAAGTTATAGCGGAGTTAAGAATTAGCGGACAGACCGACACCGACGAAAATGAGTGACAGTTTTTCATAATATCCAAGCAAGATATCTCATTTTTGAAATGTTTCGCGATTACAATACTTCCTCGCCCAGAGGAGTAGGAAGTAACAATATACCATTACTTGGTCAAATACTAAAACTTCAAAAATCCAAAGGTTTAAAATGAGCTGGCTACAGCGTATTTGTCTTAAAAGTTAAAAGTATGAAAATTTGCACAATCCGGCAACTAGGCGTCGGGTGTTTGAACTGTCCACTGCCGTTCAAAAGTTTAATTACTAATGTTTTACTAGCAGCATCTAGTAAGCAGCAATCAGCGATTACAGACTCCTGTATTGTGCCGACTAAGAATGTTTATATAGGTTTCTGTAAATAGTTACCGACTGAGTTATGCAGTACAGCGCCATCTAGAAAATAGTATTTTAGTTCAAACAAATTGAATACCATGTTAATTAGAAACGACCTACAATTTCTTGTTTTGGTGCTGCTATCTGTCATTAAAAATACTAAATAGTTACCTACGGAGACTTTAGGATCTATTAAAATATAGTACAGAAGATATAGATTTCTGTACTTATGTCACTGTGACAATCTGTTACTGTTACCAACACGCCAAACCGAAAAAGCTGGAAGGAAAAATATAAAAATCAGTTTGTTTGGAACCAGTATATAGGAAGTGTGCGTGTTTCAACTCTCTACCAATTCCCAAATCAAAACACGCCTAATTTCGGGGGGCCCTGAATTCGGGACTTTGATGAATGGTCACACGAGCCATGGCTTCGCTGTCTCTGCCCAAAGTGCTGCACCCGAGAAAAACCAGCCTTGAGATTGAGAGGGAGAACTTCGAAAAATCACAGGTGTGTTGTACGCGATTATCTCATATACCAATCGTGCATGATTTACATTTTTATAGGCATTTCTAAGGCCCTTTTAACAGATAATACCCAAAGATAGGTACGGAGCTGCAGAAGATACCAACTAAGGATTTCCGGTCGGAGTTTAGACGTGCTATTTTTAGTAAATCACGCTTTGATCGATTTAAAATCTTGTCTGGTTGAATGAATCATTCTAAACGGTACTAGTACTAGGCATGCACCTCTTGAGATGAATGAATAATGCGCCTTGATCTCATTCGATTTTTCTTTGTTTATGCACCTGGGGAAACGCCTTCCTTTTAATACGTATTCAAATTGATACATATTGTTCTCAAGAATTTTTAAAATATTGAGATGGCACGTCAAGGAAATCGTCAAATGATAATTCTGATTTTAAAGCAATGAAAATTTGTCCAAAACCTTGAACATGATTGAACTATTATATTCTCATAATAATTATAAAAATATATTTTTTGGTTGTCACAATGAACGATTTTGTATTATTATGCCATTTTGAAAATTGACATTTGGCTATTTATGAACATATTATCTTACTTTTGAAATTTCAGAAAGTATCACTATATGGGTGAATATATGGTATTCAGATCTCCAACTTTGTCCAGTATGTGGGCATCCAGACCTGACAGATCTACTGACCTACAATACTTCGACCAAAACCAAAATAATGTCATCAGTACCATCGGTTTTGAAACAAGAGACTTGTAAAAATTGAGGACTGATAGACACTGAGGATAACAGTTGTGTTTGTGAGCCAGACATATTTTTGAATGTGGCTTGCAGCCATTCTTTTCATTGTTTATAATATTATGTTTTATTGTAAAAAAATTACAAAAGCAGAAAGTATATGGTATTTAAGAATCATTTTTTTCACATAATTGCCATATTGTACTATTGAAATTCACAGAGATAAACTTACCAGTACCAGGGTAAGTACTGGGAACACTGGCAAAAGGGTATCTGACGACACTACTTGAGCAAATGACACGTTTCTGGTTTCAGTAGGCCAAATCGCACTAGTTTCAAACCGTCGTTTCTTGATTTTTGGCTGTTCAAGGTCAAATCGTGAAATTGTCACAACTACAGGAAAATATGCAATTTGAATGTCACCAAGTGGGGGTGGCACAATTTTTAGGAACAACTAAAACATGTTTTTATGCGACTATACAAATTATTTGCTTCTTTTCATATAATATATTTGTAGTGAACTCAGGAATGGATTATGCCAGGGGACAATACATTTTGTTAATTTTCAAACATATTGTGCCTAAATGATTACCTTAATTTCATCACAAGTTCCATATAAAGCATGATATTTCCCACTGTTTGTATGGTTTATTTTCACAATTTGTCGATCCAAGATTTTTATTTTGTCGAAATTCGAAATACGGTTTATTCATCCCTATAAGTTTAAGAATCATCTGGTTAAGCATATTGAAAAATTTTGTAAGTTTACTTATGCCTTCAATTATGAGTTAATGCCTCGTCCATACTCTTTCTAGGAAGCATAAATGTGAGGATTCCTAGTCGCCTTGTTCTTGGACTGCCAGGATTTTTTTTTAAATTTGGGATCCCTCATTAATCCGAGGCCCTGTGTGCGCAGATGGAGAGTAAACGCGGAATAGCCCCGGTTTCTCGGGCAAACCACGAGTATATCTCAGCTTTCTGCTGAGTTCTATAGGAGACTCCACAAGCCCCATTTTTCTATTCCAAATAAGATTCCTCGACACTTTGGATGTTTTGTTGGCCAATTTCGATATCAGCGTCTCAAATTACCCCACATTAGCGAACTTCGTTCGCTTGTGACAAGGGAAGACGGTAATAAAAATGTTGGGTTGAGAAACTGTAATGTTTAAAGTGATACTATCAGAGAATTTTCAAGAATTCTTACATACTTAAAATTCCGACCAAAAGCTGATTCTTCACTAAATAGGGTTCGTAGATCTCGAATCTGATGTCAGTTTTTCGCGTATATTATCTCCGAAATGGCACCTTCACCGTTGTTACTGTTAATTTGTTATTACAAGGTGAAAAATCGTCGATTCATTTTTTACCAGAAAATGCCTAACCGTAAATCTGAAAGAACAGCAAAAAGTTGAAGCCATTATTGTGCTTAACATAAAAAAAAAAATTCAAAAACAATTGCTACTAATTTTTTGAGAAAAATGGGCTTTTCAGCCAAGCTGCCAAGCCACTTTGGATCAAACAAATGGCCTCATATTGGACTCATTTTTTTTAAGATCGTATTAAAAGACATACTAATTGTTCTTATACTAACCATGTGAAAAACTGTCGCTAAGCGTTCATCTATTGTTGCCCCATAAGCAATTAGAATAATAATAATAATATAATAATAATAATAATAATAATCTATATTCCAAATTGTACAATGACTTACAAAATTGTATAGCCACTACAAAATGAAATGTTGCGTCACTATCACCATAACTATAAAACAGCTACAATCTTAAACTATTACAACTCCCATAGAACTCATCTATTGTATAAGGCTCTGACTGTACTAGAAATTGCTTAAGAGTCTTTTTAAATTTATGTAAACTGTTTATGTTTTTAATTTCATTTGGTAGATTGTTAAAAAATTTTAAACACATGTAAATAGGGCTTTTTTCTGTGGAGGATAATCTGTGTATCAGATAGGTAACATTGACTGTTCGAGTATCATAAACAGTTTGCACCTTAAGCTCAAATAAATTTTTATTTTTGAAAAAATATAAGACACTCATACACATAGATGGCATACATAGCCATGATTTTTTCAGTTTTAAACACCCCCGTATTATTTAGATATCTTGATATTACCCTAAAACCATAGCAAATGGAATTGAGCCTTTTCAGGAGTTCGAATACATGTGTTGTCCAATCTAAAAATTCATCAATCATTCAAACTGCAGTTGATGATCATCTATATCAATACATTGTGGCTTAACGACTTTACTCTGCTTAGTTCTAAATAATGTTGCATCAGTTTTGGTTTTATTCAGCACCAGTTTGTTCTCAGAAAACCATGTATTCACACTTCTGAATAAGAGATTCCCCTTAGCAGTTAGGTCCTCTACACTTGTCCCACCCAAAACTAAATTTGTGTCATCAGCATAGCAGATAATTTTATGCTTGCTCTCATCACCACTAGTAACAAAACAGAGATCGTTTAAAAAACAAAATGGGCCCAAGTATACTACCCTGTGCTATGCCCGTTGAAGTCAGCTCAATTTTTGACTTGTAAGTTTGACCTCCTTTAACAATTTCAACACTCTGTTGTCTATTATAGAGGTATGACTTGAACAATTCCAGCGCAGTTCCTCTTACACCATATCTTTGTAGCTTTAATAACAATATGTCTCTGTCGATGCAAGTTTGTTTTTTTTGACAGGATGCTCTGAATTTTGTCTCTCAAAATCTAGAAATCCTGATGGAAAATCATGAACGTAGATTCCCAATCTAATGTTAATTTGGTGAGCGGCTAATTGTTTACCTTAAATTTAGTCTCACCAGTCCCAAAAATAATGAATGTGTATGGTTTTGTTTTTCGCCATCTCGTTTACGGACAAAAGACTGCATGCACTACCTTGTAAGTTTACTTCCATTGTCAACATACATTAAAAAAACAATTACCTATATGTTGTTTGATAGGATGTGATAAACCCAACCTGTAATGTTGATGACTCTTTATCTGTTATCAGCCTTCACAGATGTTTTATCACGCTTGGTAACAAGCAACAACATACTTAATAGCTAGCTTGAAGAGGAAGTATTTTTCGGAATATTTTATTTGATTTTTTTACAGAGTTATGTTTTAATCAAAATGTTTAAAACGATGAAGGTGTTTTAAACCAATTTGTTTTAAACTGCTTAAAACTTGTTTTAATCACTGTTTTTTTGTCGTTTGTGAGTTATTCAAGTTTTTTCTTAAAAAAGGCAAATAGGTCTATCCAAATTTCTGTGCATTCGCTAATTGTACAGTCATTTTGTTGAATCTTATCTAGGGCAATTGCTATTTATTTTGACTTTACTAAATAGTCCTGGGCATTTATTTTTAAATTTAAATCATTAATTTCTTCCGAGATATGAATATCAATGGCAGCTCGGTTTTCTAAACAAAATTTTGATAATATGTGCCAGTTCTCTAGATAAGATTTAATAGACTCAGCTAAAGTGTTCCATCTAACAACTTGTGGTATTTGCCTGCTGCGAAATGTACATTTCTAAAGAACTTTATTGTTTTCTTTATGTGTTCTTTCAAAGTAGGCACCTGAATATCTTGCGCAAATAAATTTAAAATATGTGTAGAGCACCCATAAGTAAGTAGGTGTATATCAGCTAGACCTGCTCCATCGCATTTTGCTAGTTTTGCACGCATCTTAGTCATATTTCCAGCATTATCTGTCACAATACTTCTGACATTACAATTATAATCTGTGTAACACTAATAAATTTAACAAGCATTCAGAAGTATGACTTTTGTCTTCAGTGTCAATTAGATATACTTTACCTTCTTGAATATCATTTGCGGACACACACACTATTGACTGATTTATTACCTAATTCCTTTTTTATTTCTGCTTGTAAAGTTGTGTATACGTTACTAAGAACTTCGTTTCCTATTTGCTGACGATTAGGTGGCTGATATCCTGGACGCAACATTTCCATTAGCCGCTTAAACTCGGGGTGTTCCACTGCTCTAAAAACACAGTTTTTGGCATAAACAAAACGTGCTACTTAGATATCAATTTTTTCTTCTCGCTACATGTTGTTTTGAGAACGAATGAATCCAGACGCGATTTTAGTTGGACATCGTCTCTATCTCCTTGTCTTCTCGTGAATAGGGCAAAACTGGATGACCCTGAACTAAAAGCACTAATAACATTTCTGTTAGTGTATTAATTCTGTGACGAGCCATCTAAAAAATAAAGTATATATATGTAATAATTGTAATAATATCTAAGAATTCAATGCGATTGTTTAACAGAAATTTGCTTGTACAAAACAAAAAGTATATACCGAGTCTTAATTCGGACCTGTTGTATTCTTAATTCTTATACGTATATATTAAACATATTTAAACAACATTTAACAGCAATTAGGTATTGATTACATTTTTCACAATTCTCCAAGCTACTTAACTTTGAGGAAATAGCTTTGGTAGAAACATCATCATTGTCGGTATTAGAACTATCTGATATATGAATATTTTGTTTTTTTAACAAACTTCCTTGCTTAAGTTGTTTACAATTTTTAATATACTTGCGCTTTCTATCCACCAGTGGCACTATATCCATATTGCAGGTTAAACAATTGAAGAATCTCTGGATTATAGTAGTATTAGTATCAAGTGGTTATTGTTTATAATTATAGTGACGTCTAATTGGGTGAGTGCGTGACTTGGTTTAATTTTAGTTTAGAAAAGACAACATATTCTTTATTGAGTGCATGATTGGGTTGTGATAATAATTCATACCTCCTCTTCTGTACGATGAGTCCGCCTTACAGCTTTGCTGATGACAGCACTTTGCATGCAGGCATTCAGAGTGCAGAGCAGATCACTGTCGATGAGCTAGAGAAGAAGACTAGCAGCGGCTTCCTTTCTGTCAGCTTGTATAAATAAATATAGGAAGTTTTTGTTTGCTTAAGTTATCACTGCTTGGAGATGCAACAATCTGGTATAGTTTAATACTTCCCAAGCACGGTACTATATCTTGACCAACAAGCAGCGCCCTAGGGATCATCCGGTTTCGATTGTGTCATTCATTTCGGCTAGTCCAGGTCATCGAGAACTTGATTTGGTACGAACACATCTCATCAGTCGCATAGCTGTTGGGATTTTTCCTAGGTTATCTATTTAGGGCTAAGGAGTATTTTTCTCCACATAACCTCTCCCTCATTCTTCATGCTCGATGTTGTTCAGAGGATGGCTGTCCGACTGGTCGATGACTCTTCTCTAACGAACAGTCTCGGGACCCTTTCATACCGACAGGCGGGCAACGATCTAGCGTTCTTCTACCGCTGTGTTAACGGGCTTTGCTCCTCCGATCTCTCCTCCATGATGCCGCCACGCGATGAGCCTGCCAGGTAGACGCGCCAGGATTCTGCCTCCCATCCTAAGCGTGATGACCTTCGTACATCCAGAACTAGCCCTCTCCTTTACCCCTAGTGTGGCGAGATCGTGGAACAATTTGCTTTGAGTAGGCTTTTCCTAGTGCTGCAGTATGAAAAATAGACTTTGTAATTGTAATACAATATTAATTTGCTCCGTTGAAGCTGAGTAAAAATTATTGAAATGGGACATATTCCGTCCGAGAAATCATCTTCTCTTTTCAGCGATGGACAGCCACGAAAAAGCGGCCGCTTCAGCCGATAATGTCTCAATGTTTGTTTCTATTCCTACTATAAATAGCTACATAGCTACAAGGCCGCCGAAGCATGAGCTTACTTTTACAGTTTTTGTTTTTTTTTCAGATTTGCATGCCATTTTAATCCCTTCCCATTAATATTCCTTCTAAACCTTCTTAATATCAAAAACACCTTGCATGCAATTTTGTAAATATGGCCAGAGAGTACTCGCCAAGGGACTTGGAGAAATACGTGAGTAGATTCGTCAGTGCCGTCCATGTTACGTGTGTTTTGTAGCTTGGTGCTTTTGGGTTTATTCTGGTAAATAACATATTTATTGAGTGTTAGCGAAAATAATACAAAAGTTTAGTTGTGTATTTAACGAAACGATAACCTCGCATTCGTGGTAGAAATTTTCTGCTTGATATTTCTCGTGGTCACCTTTGTTGGATGCCCTTAAAATGAATCAAGAGGTTGCCGGACGATAACCCGATGTAATTTTTTCTAACAAATTACAAGAAATTTATTGTTTACCTTCCATGCCTACTAGCGAGGATGTATTGTAATCGCGATATTGAGATGTTTTGTTTTTTGGATGTTATATGACATGTAGATCATAAAAATCCATATCACACATTTTTGTGAGTCTGTCTGTCCGCTGATCCTTGGCCCTTTTATAACGTGGAAAGTTCTGCTCGGATTTTGATGAATTTTACTGCTATGTCAAGGACGAAAAAGCTTTATTTATAGTTTTAAAAATCGGTTCTGTGGTGGCGGAGGCAAAAAACAAAATAAATAAAAGTCGCTCAAACTTTATTTTCTGTCGTTTCACATGTTCCTGATCTTTTTCGGAATTTTTTTTGTAGTGGTAAAGAATTGGGGTTGAGGGGTTACAGTTAGTGGGGGAGGGTATACGTTAATTTTTTGACGTTGGTGTATTTATACACTTCCAACCCCAGTAATTCAAGGCACCTATTAGGCATATTTCACTCACCATAGATGAAAAACATATAATAATTTGACAAAACAATTCTGTAGTTCAGAGGTAAATAGTCCTAAGTTGGAAAATCAATGCTTCGATTAATGTGCAAATCAAGTAAAAATATCAAAAGTTTAAATGGTTGAATCACATTTTTATAATTACAACTGTTGAAAACCAAAAATCTGATGCTTACGATTGTTTGCTACAATATAAGCCAAAATAATGTAATTTAATAATTATATTAACTAGGAATTGTATCAAACTGGACTTAAGACTGTTTACCTCTGAGCTACAGAATTATATTCATTCTATAGAATTATCACCTGTAAGAGTTTTCATGCCCAGCGACTATAGTCAATATACCAGAACGCACTAAACTATACGCTAATACATGGTGCATAATTTCATTTTCATTTTTTTTTAAATCAAACATGCTGTTATTCACTTACAAGCAAACCACGATCGTCAAATAATACACATATCAGAGTGCCCAAAAGTTGCCTTGAGAAAAAGGTGACCGTTGAGACCGAAATGTCGTATAATAAACGAAATTTTAAACATTTATGCAGTTTGAATCGGCTAGAAAAACATGGGGGATTGACTTAAATACTACTATAGATACTGCATACGCATACTCAAAGTCCATTTGTTCAGAATTGCGTTGAAAGTCAACCTACTTGACGCCTGTTTTTTGTCTGATGATTATTTCAGTCTTCCTGCATAACACAGCAGTCAGCGAGAAAAACGTTTTAGTCATTTCATTATCGTGACGAATGGAATCATTACCAAATTATGTTAATTTCGACCTTGATCTTGAGAGATTATTACCACCGAAACCGAAACTGGCAAGAATGAGGTTAAACGGAGATGACCAATCATGCGAATCACATGTTTTGACGTTCTCATTTGAGATGTTTACAGTTTGTCTGTTACACAGTCGAGCAAGTTCGCAAGCACAAAAGGCCGCGGCTCGCACTGTAATCAAAATTAACTCGGGAACTTAGAAGTTCCAAAATTGGAGCATTTTGACAAAATCTTTAGAAAAAATCGAATATCTTTAGACCATATCAAAATCTGTGAAGTGATTTTAACAATGCCTAAACGCTGCCTATCCTAAAAGATTCTCTTCTTCCCCTTCGCTCTCGTTCTTCCTTCTCTCCTGTCCTTCCCTTTTTTCCTTAAAATTGTCTGGTTTCTGGGTTACCAGACCTGACAGACTTACAAACTGACACTGTGACTCAAGAGCTAAGGTCCCACGGACCGCTCTGACAACCAACGATGACTTGACTTCAACTTGAGTTTGTCTGTGAATTATTCTACATTTAGAAAAAATATTTTAAGTAGGCTGGCTTTATGCTATACTCTCACATGAGCTGTTACTTCCCACGAACTGCTGTCAGTTTTCATATACAGCGTGTTAAAATTCAAATGGGGATTCTTTGGCCAATTCAAAGAAGAAAAGTTTCAAGATTGAGAATGTCAGACATGAAGAGTTAGTTTTTTCGTTTAAATCGTTGCCTATTAGCCGGTTTTGTTGGCATGTTTTGATATTCAACAGATGTGCATGATCGTCGAAAGTTTAACCCTTGATTAACGTATTCTACCTGAAGATAGCTAACTATAGGTATACTGTATCCCGGCGTTCCGCACAACGTTTAACAAAAAAAATGTATCAGATCAAGTCAGCCAAATAGGCCTCTACTATCAGTTCATACTCCATAGTCCCAACCCATTTGATAACGCTAAAGCTGGTTTCTTCCCTGCCCTAAGTATTGATTGTCTGTCAACAGTGCTGAACGCATAAACGTTGGCATTGTCCCGATCGACCGCGTGTCGCGTCTACAGATATTTCTTCAAGGTTTTTTGAGAGCAACTGAAAAAAATGATACATACCCTCCCCCCTACAACCCCCAACCTCCGATTTTTAACCCCTACATTTTTTTCTGAAAATGATCAAGGATCCTCTGAAACGTTAAAGTAGGAATGTGTAACGATTTGTATTTTTTCGTTTTTTTGCCCTTCACGCCGCCGTCACAGGACCGATTTTCGAAAACTACAAAGCTTTTTCGTTCTTGGTATAGTAGTCATCTCGTGTGGAAATTTCATCAAAATCCTAGCGTGATGTACTTGTCACATAACATCCAAAAAACATATTATCTCATTTTCGAACATTTTCGCGATTACAATTCTTTCTCGCTATTATGCGTGGGAAGTAAAAATGGTAATAAACCAGCGCCATCTGTGAGACAGTAACAGAATATAAAAATGAATTTGGAAATCAACCTTGAAAAGAGTTAGTTAGTTAGTTAGTGCTTGGTTCACCTATAGATGGCGCTAAGATCTTCAATCCCTTTTTGGCGTATCTAAGGACTACTTTAACTGGGTATCTTCAAGTAGAATACCTAAATCAATGCTTGAATATAGTCAAAAAGTATTAGAGAAGCCAAAAATTGAAGATGCTAGCGCCATTTATGAGACAATAGAAGAATCGAACACTTCAATTTTTTTCAATGCAGATTTATAAATTAATTTTTATGTTCTGCTAAGGTCTCATAGGTGGCGCTAAAATTTTGAAGATATCTTTTTGGACGCCAGTATACAGTATATGGTTGGATATCAGTGGTTTAACTAAATCGAAGCCACGACTGGTCATTGCCATTTAGATAGTTGGATTCAAGTCCTTTATTTTTTGCTTGTGGGATTTCTAGCTAAAAGTCGACGAATTACGACGAAACTTATTTTCATATGAACTTTTCTTCTTAGAATCACCCTTGAAGTCTAGTCAATCTTTTTACTAACATCGTTCAGATGAAAATTTAATTCTTCATGAAAAACATTAAATCACTTCATCGAGATCCGTTATTTCCAAGACCAACATACAGGGTGCGGCAGAGAGGACGGACGTTTTTGGGATGGGTAGTACTCGCCGCTTCCGTCTACGAGAGAGTTGGGGAGGGTGCCGTTTGACTCGTGAGATCCTAGCATTATTTTACCAGTTGTCGTTATGGAGCCTTGGACGGTGTAGCACCGGGTTTTCGCCTATGATTGATGAAGCCCACTTTCACCTAAACAGCATGGTTAACCAGCAGAATTGTCGATATTGGGCTAATGAAAATCCGCAACAGTTACACGAAAGACCACTGCACAGCCCAAAAGTAACGGTTTGGTGCGCTGTATCGCAAACTTGCATCATTAGCCCTTACTTCTTCGAAGACGGTAATGGTCGTGATGTTACCGTGAACTCAGAGCGCTACATCGACATGATCACCAACTTCTTTCTCCCTGAATTACGACGGCGACGTGTTCCAATCCGACGTGTGTGGTTCCAGCAGGATGGGGCGACCGCCCACACAGCCCGAGCATCCATGGACGTTATTCGCCCTCTCTTCCCTGGTCGCCTTATTTCCAGGTTTGGCGATGTTCATTGGCCTCCTCGGTCCCCAGATTTATCCATATGCGATTTTCTCTTATGGGGCACCTCAAGGCTAGAGTATACGCGAACAAGCCCCGAACTCTGGACGAATTGAAGGGCGAAATTCGCGTAGAAGTCGCCCAAGTTGAGAGAGCGATGTTGGAGAGGGTCTACGCGAACTTCCAAGAACGCCTCCGGCACTGCATCAACGATTTTGGCCACCACATGCCTGATGTGATTTTCCACACTTGACTGTCTCAACTGCTATTTCCTTGTGAACCTGATTCCATGAATAAATTTGTTTTCGAGTAAAAATTAACTATTTTATGATTTTTTAAAACCGTCCATCCTCTCTGCCGCACCCTGTTGAATGGATCAACAAAAGCATATTCAACTACATTTGAGATCCAGTAATCCTACTTTTAAGAGTAAATATAATTTATTAATTTCTATCTAGGACACCATCTGCAAAAACGTTAATGGATGAATGTTAAAGAAACATATGTCAAGTATCATACCATATTTCTACTTTACGTATACAGAGTAGGAAATTTTAAAATCGGACATTGTTGTTTTGATAACTAAGACGAAAATGGTATGAGAGTATTTTGAATAATTTGCAAAATGGCACATGTTCCAACAGCTAACTATCATCATTTCTTAAACTTTTCTATAATTTTCAAACAGGTCTTTAAATTGTGACCGTGCACAAAAACGTCTACCAACATTTATTTTCGTACTAGAGAATACAAAAAAAAACAAATCTTTTTGAGTTATGTCGACGGTAATCGTATTGGTTGTCTCGTCGGTCACTCAAAATTAAGCACTTTCTGTGTATCTAGTTCTTCCGAATGCCGA